ACATACAGCCCTGTCTGGTGTGACTTAGTGGATTAAGCACTGGCCTGCCAACCAAAAGGTTGCCGGTTTGATTACCAGTCAGGGTAGATGCCTGTGTTGCTGGCCACATCCCCAGTAGGGGGTGCACAAGAGACAACCACAGACTGTTCTCTCCCTCTCTTCTTCCCTTTCCCTCTGTCCAAAAATAAATAAATAAAATCTTTAAAAAACACAAAAGTTTATTTTTAAAAAATTCTATGTACAGGCTGAGAATAGCATAAAACAAACCCATGTACATCTTCTGTCTCCGACTGCCTCCTTGTGAGGATTAGTTCCGGAAATATAACAGCACAAAGTCATTCATTTTCTAGGAATCTGTACTAGGACTATATTGATTTATATGTCAATATTATTGTGCTTATTTACATAGGGGAAATGTAAATTGTATATTTCAAAAAACACATAAATATAGGGTCGGTTTCTTCGGAAAAGACAAATTGTTGCTGACGTCACTAGAGTGATCTCAGATTCTTCTATCATTCCTCCTAAGTACTAATGTTGCAAAAACCTTCAGAAGAAATATTTAGCTACGGTGGCTTTTCCCCCTTTTGGTAATTTGTTGTAAGATGAATTTGTGAATAGCTTTGTCAGGCACTAGAAAATAGCAAGTCAGGCACTAGAAAAAGGTGCCTGACTTGTTGATTAGAATTTGGGGGAATTTTTTTGCTGAAAACTTATATGTAAATGACCAATGATTTATTATAGTCTTAAAGTAGAAGTTGAAGGTGTTCCTATTACCACCACCACCAACTGTATTATAGATATGGGTGGGAATAACATTCTTTTATTAAATTTATTTTTCCCATAAGAAGGAAAATGACGAGGAATTAAGTAATTATGTTAGCTTTAAAAAAACAGTTCTTAGTTAATTTATCCATTATATCAGACAAATTATAAACTTATTTTACAAAGAAACTAGGCTTTCTGATGGATGCAAACAATGCCAGTGTCTAACTGATAGTCATTGTTCTCACGTAAAATAATTTCTTTTTTTCCCCTTGGTCGGCATTTCATCTTTCACTAAGAGTGTGAAACTTAGAACCATCCATGTCAGAATCAGCTAGTACTGAAGCAGCAATCCCACCAGGAAGACTTGCTTGTCAATTTCTACAATTAAAAACACGTGTCTTTCCATGGACTCATTGTTAAGAGAATGTTGACAGTTAGAAAGAATAATTTTTAATGAGTGTGAGAGCCATCTCAGTAGATGTTTAAAGAATACGGTCAGTTATTTACATAGAAAAAACCTGAATTATTCGCACTGTTGTGTAGTTTATAGAAAAATCTTCAGTGTAAGTTTGACTCTGTGTTTATAACTAGTCTGTAAATTATACAGGTATATACTAAAACACACGATGTCTGGAATTTGACAAAACAATATGACAAGTGAGGGAAATGGGACTGGCCAGGAGCTCATAGTGCTGGAGCGTGACAGTGAGTCTGCGTGGGCTCATCATACTGTTCTTCCCACGTTTGCTCATGTCTGAAATTTTAGGTTAGACCTTAAGAAAGGAAAAGAGAACAATGACTCGTGCCCCGTCTGTCACCTCACATTGGGGTAACAGACAAAACTGCTTATGGCTGGAAGTAACCATCCGAGGGGGCCTCTGACCACCTCAAGGCCCACCTGGGCTTATGAGGGCGTAAAGGTTCAATGCCATGATAAAACGTGCAACCAACTGATAGCATATGATTGTATCGTGGCACATTTTGGGGGTAATTTAATTCTAGACACTTCAGTCTCTTGCTTTTTAAAAGAAGATGCTGCTTAACATTCTAGACGTGTGAGCATATCCTCTCATAGTTCTTTCTCGTAGTTCTTTTCTCTCTCGTAGTTCTCTCACAGTCTTTCATCTGGGGTTGTTTCACTTCTATGGATTTAACTAAAATCTATGTCCTGATTAACTCTCAGGTCTACATAACCATCTCCTTTCTTTTTCTTAAGCGCCAGCTTCTCACACACCACCACCCTCAGAATTCTTCCAGGCACTCAAAGTAATGTATTATCTTCACCCCAACAGATTTGCCTTCTTCTAAGCTCAGTAGGTGCCACCACCACCTAGCGGATCAACTAGAGCCCTCTGATCCTTCTTTGGCCTCTCCCCCTTCCTTCTCCCTCATATCTCCTGTCTAACAAGTCAGAAATAATCTGTTCCTTCTCCTGGAACAGGCCAGAGCTACCCAGAAGAAGTCAGATTATGACTCATGATTAAATCAGCCACCGTGGATTGTATATACAGTATTTAAAATGTTTTTCACCTGTGAAGCACAACCAGATCCGGTCAGGAAAGTAGAAAGTGCGTGTGATGTAATGAAAAGGTGAAAAGATACCGAGTCCAGGTGCTTAGTTAAAGTACTAATGCAAATGTGCTCTCTGCTTGGTGACCCAAGGAAACCATCTATATCTGAGACCCAGTTTTCTCACCTGTAAACACTCCATTTGTTCATGCATTCACCGTGCAGTGATGGGCTTCTGTGGGTCAGGGAATGTGTCGTTTGTTTGGGGATGCAAAGGTGAATAGATGAGTAAGACATTCCCTTTCCCTCAAGGGAGGAAGGTGAACATGCAAAATAATACTGGTTTTAAAGCACCCGTCCTCAGTGGAGACCATACTGCCCCCACGGAAGAAAAACGTGTTTTTGTTTTCGAAGTGGGCAAAAAAAAAAGCCCCTTTGATGTATAAAACACAGATATACTTATAGTACTTAAATGGATATATGGTAGGTCTGTGGAATCAACTAAATGCCAGTCCTGGGCTAAGCACGGTGACCCTCACTATCAAATTTGTCTTAACAAACCTATGAGGTAGGTATTGTTATTTCCATTTGTCAAATGATCAAAGGGCTTGGAGAGCTTAAGTAGTTCAGTAATTGTCCAGGTGGGCACCTGAATACAGGTTCCATAAATGCAGAGATCTTGTCTGAATAGGTCATTGTTCTGTGCCTGTGCTTGGAAGAGTGCCTGGCACCCAGAGGGCAGCCCAGTAATAGCTTGTGAACAATAGGTGAGTTATTGTGAATTAGAAATACAAGGAGAGCCCGGAGCCCTAGATGCGTTTGGTTCCAAATCTCGTTTTTTTTGTAATCTGTTTGAGATTAGACATGCACAGTGCATGGCTTTAGAATGAACTGATGGATCTGTGGATGGACAGGTTGATAGAATGAACAGAAAAAGAAAGCCAGAAGACAGAGAGGAAAAGGGTGGACAGTATCCTTCCTCCCTCCCTCCCTTCCTTCCTTCCTTCCTTCCTTCCTTCCTTCCTTCCTTCCTTCCTTCCTTCCTTCCTTCCTTTCTTCCTTCCTTCCTTCCTTCCTTCTGTAAGAGTAGTAATTGTGAGAATTAAATTAACTACTGATATTTTCAAAAACTATAGAGAATAACTCAATGCAAGATACTAAATAGAAGTTTGATGAGCAAAAACGTAAGGAGTTCCCTGACAGTCATACCGCAGCCAGTTCATGGGCTCATGCGTTTTTGTGTCTCATGGAGCCCTGCTGTGACCTGCTCACAGCTAACAGGACAGGCTGGGGCTCTAATGTTCGTGACACACAGACAGACCCAGAAGAGCAATCATTAACCAGAACTTTTCAAAAGAACAAAAAGTAGCAGGATAATAACTAACAAAAGTACACATAAATATAGGACAATAGTTCTGAGAAATACTATCATACTTCATAAATTGGCTAAGAGCAATTCATATTTTTAAGTCAAACTGATTGCTTTGACTTGTTTTTTTAATGTAAAACCTTGTTTGATGATATTAAAATGATGGAGCATGGATGAGTGGGTACTACATTTAAGTAAGTACAATATAATTATGAATTATGGAACCCTGACTCTGAGACATTTTGAGTGTATGTCCTTCGTTGAGGTCTTTAACCTCTGAGCTTCAACTTCTTGAAGGGTAAAATGAGGCATTTATTGCATGAGGGCGACAAGGAGTAAAAAGAAAATGTACAAAAATCACCTAACATAGTTCCTGGCAAAGAGTAGGAAGTCAATAAATGTGTTTCCTTTTCTTCTGCTTCAAAGAAACACAGAGAATTTCTTCTAAACTCTAATTCAATTATTAAAATCTTTCCCTATGTACAGTGTTTCAGGTTGAGACTTTGATAAAAAAAGATGAGATAGGGAAAATACGGAACACATTTTCTTTTATCCTTGGCCTGCCTGACGCTGACTGTATCATACCTTCTTGGCTTTCCTGTGGCACACACATAACAAAACAAAACCCTTATCGTTTGAGTTTCTTCTGAGCGGACTCAATTTCTTTTTTAATAAAATTGATACCGTAGTAAGTGATCTATTTTAAAATTACCCTTGCATTATTTAAGCTGTGTCAAGTGGTCTATAGTGCAGTCACAGATCAACATAGGGGCTAATAGTTTTTCAGACAGATCAAGCCCCATTTGAGCTTAAAAGAAAGCTTTTGAAGATTTTGTTTCCGAATAACAAGAACCTAAACAAATTTTGTAGGAACATTTGGTTTCTGTGGCTCGTACAATCCATTACTTGCCAAAGCCTCAAATTTATTTCATTCCAGGCCTGAGAATCGGATGTGTGTGGGTGTGTGTGTGGATAAGACGGACATTGGAGCCAGAAAGACTGGACAGAAACCTGTGCCATGCTATTAACAAGCTAAGTAGTAAGTCACTTGACTTAGTTTCCTTATGTATAAAATGGGAGAGTTTTGTGAAAATTAAAGAGAAGATAATTCACATAAGGTATCCATCCCAGTGCCTAGAGAACTAAGCACATACTGAAAACTTTGAGCACTTTAATGTTATTATCATCATCCTCATAATAGTCTGTAAGAGATTCAATGCACGTCCTCATTCCCCTCCAGTCGACCCATGGACCAAAAATGCGATCCTCCACCTGCTAAATGAGAGCTGGCTCTACAACGACTAAGGGCCCGAAACCACAAGCCCACATCATACAAGACTTGGAGAACGCATACCATAGCCCACTGTAGAAAGACCCAAGTGTCTCATTCTACTTTTCACAAGTTCAGCAAGCTCTTGTCTCTCTGACCTCCTGTAGAGGTTCAGTCGCTGCTGGGTTATTTTCTCAGCTGTTTTACCAGAGTGTTTTGGACCTTTTCGGCTCAGTCTTCGGGCCCACTGCATGCTCTTTCTCCTCAGCAAGGGGTGGTCCGCCTGGTCGCTGCAGGTGGAGTTGCGGCGGTTGCCTCGGGGAAGGCCTTGCTCCTTGCAGTCTTTGGTGTCTTCCCATTCCTCCACACTGATTGATATTTGAGACTTGAAAGGAAATGCACATGGGTGGTTAGAGAGGGTAGGACTCATTTCAGCCTGGGTTCTATGAATATTCTGGCTAATGACTTGGTGGAATTACTTACTTAGCTCATGAGGGCTCTCACGGAAAGAGCAAAATCGTTATCATTGGTATGAATTTCCCATCACTAAAGATGCTACTAGAAAAATGTTCTCTTGGAATTATGTATCAACAAGATAAAATATCTTTGCATCTTGCAACATAAGTTTTTATGAACAGTGTTAACTTTTACGCGTCAGATTTATTTTCTCAAATTACTATTAACATAGAGTTGTTTGAAGCCACGAACAAAAAAAAATAGCTATTTTTATCATTTTATTCAAATCACATCCACAGAATGAACTTTTTTAAACCTACTGCATGTATCTCACATGAAATTTAAAGAAATATTGTAATACTTTTATTTTTGGAATTAATAACATTTTAAGTGTTTTAAGTTATTGCTCTTTCTAAAACTGGCATTGCAATATAATTTTTAAAATGTGAGGGTTTTTATTCCCTCCTATGACCCAGAAGAAAACAAAAAGCACTTTTTAATTCATGCATTAATTATTCACCACATCAAATGTTTTTCGATTAAAATATGTCTCAGGAACTATTCAGAGTATTCTAAGTGAAAATAAATTCTAAATATTTCACAAACGTCTTCTGGAATCACAAATAAAACTTAAACCAGGCCCTTCTCCATAGAAAGGGACGTGCAATGAACAAACCCATAAAGTCAATTTTGATTCTTTCACTCCTCAGTCTGATTTTCAAGAAGCTCTTGTTTGATTATAGGCCCTTAATAACCAAACACTTCTTGTTTTAAAATGGTTGCTTTTCATACCAGGAAGCCCTATGAAATGCAACCCCGTCAAAGCAGAAAGTCTTCCTTTCTAAAAACACGCGCATGCCAACGAATAGCTTCCTGACTTGGAACAGACTTGCAGCAGCATGCACGGGGTCTGCTCTTCCCTTCCAGGGAGCGTTAGCTTCTGCTGTCACATGCACGAGTTGCTGGCTTTCAGAGTAAGAGAATTCAAATGACCAATTTAAGTAAGGTCAGGAGGCGATCCAATAAAATCCTTTAAAAAGTGAATATAAATGATGGAGGCTCAGTCAGCGCCTTACAGGCAATACCCAGGGACAGGCTGTGAAATCATCTCACACTCCCATTCGATAAAAATATACCCATATATTTGTCTACCCTTCTGTTTCAAAACAGCACTGTTTCAGAGTGATATCAGAAATAAGTTCTTTAACCTTCCTATCTTCACAATAAGGGAACATTTCATTAACATTTTCAGCAACCTTATTTTTAGCTATCGGAATTTAAGTTGGCAGTACTAAAATTTTTAATACCATGGTTTAGCAACAGTGGGTACCACTGTAAATCTTTAACTTCCTCCAGTCTCACCTACTGGGCAATATACTGATAATCCTCTGCCGTGGAAGTGAAACGCATAAACCCCTGAGTAGTATCTGCCATCAGTAGGGAATGTCAGTCTCTGTTCAGCGGTTTTAGTGTATCTGTGCTTTGCAGCAAAACTGAAAACATATTAATTCATTCATAGCTAGACACTTGGCTTGCAGAGTTTTCTTCATCACAATCTTAAATTTATTCGATGTGATCCTTCTCCTCATAAATCTCTGTAACAGCTTGATGGCCTACAAAGATGTGGAAATAGTAATCTTACCATACCAGATACGAAACATACTACGCTTGTAGAATGTCTCCTAAAATTCAAGTCAGGAAACCATAAACTAATAATTACAGGGGGAGATTTGCTTCTCTTCCAAGTCGGGAATGAAACACTATTTGTCTTCGTGAGCACTTTTCCCCCAGTCATGTCAAGTACACATCCATAATATGAACCCAATTTATATTATATAAGCAAATATATACGTATATATTAGCTGAACCGTCCAGAGCACACCATGTATCGTTGCTTTGAGTGCCCCAAGGTAGGGGACATGACGATTTATACATAAAACCCATAGAAATTGCCAGGCCTTTTTTGTCAATAATTCAATAAAATTAATGACATCCATTTGTATACTTCGCTTTAACGACAGAAAAAAAATGTGTTAGAAGGACTTGGAGGTTCAGTGTAAGAAATCTAAACCAACAACACACACACTGTGCTTTACGTGTGTGAAATCTGCAAACCTTTCTCCCGTCCTTCCAATATGACATCGTGAAATTCACAGGGAATTTTGACGTACTATGTTTCACAAATTTGAATGGTATTGCATATATTCCCCAGCTGCTCCTATACCAAAAGTGGTTAACCTCTACGTAAAATGAAAATAAGGCCCATCTGGGACCTCACAGAAATTCATAGAGCACAATAACGTATAAAGAAAACATTTGCCCACTGTCCACTTCCTTATATAATAACAGCAGCCATATAACGCAGCAGGAACAATTACCTACAATACCAGTCACATCAGTGATACGCATTCTGTTTCTGGTACTCGATGTCTGTGTATGCGTGTGCTTGCCTTTTTATAGGGTCCACTTAGAAATACACTTTTCTGCTGTCACGTCAGCATCTGGTCGTAGCTCTATTGTGTTGAGAACATGCCATCATCTTCTGGTGGAAACAGTGTCGTGTGGGGACCCACAAAAGTGCCTCTATTGCAGGACTTTCCCTGTATGTGGAGGCCTGACTCGAACATGGCTCCCGAAAGAGTCTGGGGTCCGAGAGGCAGACCCGGGTTTGCTCCGCATTCCTGGCCATGGCGTTGAAATCGCTAAGCGTGTCACCATGTCCTTATCTGAGATAAGGGTAACTCTAATATATATATGTTTTGCACACAGTGTGTTGCTGAGGACATGTAAGACATCATCCATGTCACCTGCATCCAATAAAGCCCATTCTGCAAATGCTCAATACGTACTAGCTAATAGTATGGCTCATTATCTTGTACGTTAAAAAAAAATGTAAAAGGATATACTCCTAACAGTGGAATTGTTGGGCCAAAAGGCATGTTCATTTTTAGTTTTCTTAGAAATTTCCATACTGTTGAAACACCAATCCAAAATAACCTATGCACACCAATGTTCACAGCAGCACAATTTACAATAGCCAAGAGTTGGAAGCAACCTAGATGCCCATCAGTAACTGAATGGATCAAAAAACTATGGTTCATTTACACAATGGAATTCTATGCAGCAGAGAGAAAGGAGCTCCTACCCTTTGCAACAGCATAGATGGAACTAGAAAGCATTATGCTGAGTGAAATAAGCCAGGCAAGTGAAAGACAAATACCATATGATCTCACCTTTAACAGGAACCTAAACAACAAAACAAACAAGCAAGCAAAATATGACCAAAGACACTGAAATATAGAACAGGCTGACAGGGATCAGAGGGGAGAGGGGAGGGAATTTCAGGGGGAAAGGGGAAGGAGTCATGGGAACAAGTATAAAGGACACGTGGACAAAAACTAAGGCTGGGGCGGGGGGGATGGGAGGGAGATGAGGAGCACTGGGGGTGGGGTGGGCTGGGATAAGAGTAAAAGACAGAAAACTTTACTCGAACAATAATTAAATAAATTTAAAAAGAAAAAAATGTAAGAGGGAGAAAAGAAATAATGAGGAGTTAAAAAGGTAAAAGCTGGGTATGAAACAGACAGGGAAGACATATTTTTGGTGCAGTTTTCTCTATCAGTGACTCTGTCTCACCGGAGATCAAGGTGCTATAAAGAAACCCTTGGAGGCGCGTCCTCCTTGGTGAAAGCTCGGGGAGTGTGAAGAGAAGGTGGATTTAAGGGCAAATGGAGACTTACTGTCTCGTACCACTTCTATGAACTCTTCTTTGCTCTTCCTCTGAATAATGAGAGGACTCTGGTTTGACCTCTTTTTTGTCCTGTTATTACCAAAAGCCTGATGTCATTATTCACTGAAAAATCAAGATTTCATGCTAATGTTCATGAGAATGAAAGAAGATACTTGCACATGGCTGTGATCTGACCTCAGTCCCTTCAAAATTGATACGTTGAAGTACTAACCCCCCAAAGATGATGTGTTGGGAGGGCGGGTCTTTGGAAGATGGTTAGGTCAAGGCCAGTGATGCCCCTAGGGGGGTCGGTGCCCTTATAAGAGAGGCAGGCCTCAGAGAGCTCCCTAACCTCTTTGGTCATGTGAGGCTCCAAGAAGTCTGTGACCAAAAGGGGGCCCTACCTGCCAGTGCTGCACCCCGAGGTCACACATCTCGCCTCCAGAACACTGAACAACGTATTTGTTTGTGGGCTACCCAGCCTGCAGATTCTTGTTACAGCAGCCTGAACAGACTGAGACAGATGTTATAGGAAATGCTCTGGGAACACATTGATACAGTCGAATAAGAAAATGAAAATTATCTGTGGCTACAACTTTCATGTAGATTTAAAACATCATTTGTAAAGGTTACAGGATTTTTCCAAATATCTATCGCATTTAATATGGTTGAAAAAAGGCTCAAAATATTTCTTCCCAACAACAAAAAAATTCAAAACTTCATAAAGGAGATAGTGTTTCCTATGCCTCAACCAGCTTTATTTGCTAGCATTATTTTCAGAAATGCAGAACGTGTCAGGTTCACAAAATATACGAAAGGTTCTTTTCTGCACCACACACATGTGCTCACACAGGGGTTCATTCGTGTTCCTTCAGATTTTCATTCATGTCTTAGGCTACTGAGCAACCTGGGGAACAGAGTGGTATCTTAAAATAAATTGATTCATCCAGTAGCTTGAAAGTGAGTGTTGGTAATCAGGATTCATCACTCCCTTCAGAATAGGTGGAGTCCTCATAAGGGGCTGAAGCGGTGCTGCCTGGCTGATGAACGAAGACATTCTGAGTTGTTAGTGACAACAAGTGGGCCTGTGGCGAGGGGTCAGATCAGCAAGGTCCGGCCCAAACCCAGGCTGAGCTCGGCTTCCTTAGTTTCTGGTTTGTAAGAAACTAAACAGTGGTAACATAATGTGTTTTATGGCCACAAATAACAACATATAAGCACAAGTTTTCTTTGCACATAAAATATCCTTTGGAGATACACACCCCCAATTGTGTTTAGATTTTCACAATATGTACTATATATAAGTATTGTGTGTGTGTGTGTGTGTGTGTGTGTGTGTGTGTGTGTGTGAAGAATATTCTCGTGCACCTGAATAGCTGTAAACTCCCAAACTGACTTACAAAAAAAATAAAAAATGATTAAACAGAAGACCAGTGCACAAGCAGCCAGGTTAAAAGGTTAAACATGCAGAAAGGTATTCAAACAGTTTGCACTAGTGAAGTCACAGTCTCCAGGCCAGTTCTGGTACCTTCATAGCGCAATTTTCACTTATCATTCTCCAGAACTCCAGGAATATATCACCTAGAAGCAGATTTCAAACACACGTCTGTATGCACGTGTGTGCGCCTGTATACACCCTATGCCGCCCGGGGCCAGTATGGGGGTCTGCGTTCCTCTCACCTCCAGCCTCGGATGGACCCGAGGATAAGGCCTGGACATGCGCAGACACCACAAAGGGGAGCACAGCCGCAGTTTGCCACGCCCGAACTTTCCACATCCACACACACCCACACACGCACCCTTCTGTTTCACTCCTGAGTACCACGGCCCTAACGTGTATGCCACTTGGGGACACGTGAGCCACTAGGAAGAAAACTTCTAAGACAGATGGCAGATACAACGATATATGACTTGGTAAATATGAATATTCATATTCATACGTAAAGACTTTACACAAAACAGTGCTACTGATCCAAGCAGACCTTCGCTCAGAGAACTCCCCGCCCCTGGGAAGACGACCTGGATCAACCTTACAATTTCCTCTCCATTCCCGAACACACAGACTCCAGCGGCCACCCCGTACACCCCTGCGACAGAGGCTTAATTAGGAACACAGTGAAGCCGGACCTCCGGCAGTTCAGGAAGGGGAGGAGACAGAAAGCCAAGACCGGGGCGTTGAATGAAATCACGTGGAGTGCTTTCCTTTAAATGGCTTCTTGCTCATCACTGTGCCGGCAAGACTCTTAGTAAATTAAAACCAGTAACTCATGCAAGTAAGAAATGCCTTCACAGGGTCAGAAGTAAGGTAAGATTCAATAGAGCTAGAAAATATTATGTATAAGAATGATAAAATTAAGTAGAAATTTTTTATGAAGGTGAAAGAAAATTACAAATGAGCTCACACTCCCAAGTGTGTGTGTGTGTGTGTGTGTGTGTGCATTAGAACACACTTGAGGTTGGTAAGTGTATCTATATTTGAGTAAGATCACAAGGCATTTACTCAAATCCCAGGAATGCTCCCTATATTTTACTGATAAATTTAAGTGTACCGACAGTTCCTGAAGCAGCGCCACGCCCTCACAAATGGTGCCCGCTGAATCACAGTGAAGGAAGATCTATGTTATTCTCTCCGCTTGGCACACAATTACACTTGCTCTAAAAATCCACGTAGCCCATTCCTCCTTTCTCTAACTCCTGAACTGACAGCAATGTGCTCCCCACTTAATCCTCAAGCCACTACATACTGAGAAAAGCCCAAGTTTACACAGCTAATAAAAGGAGTTCGGTTCACCACTGAAACTCCGACCACCGGGTTCCAAGTCCCGTCCTCACTGGGTCAGGCAAAATGATTGAATAAATGACTTGTACCAGGAACAAGGCCAGAAAGAGTATCAATAAAAAATGTCTGGGACTTAGACTAATCTCTCCTTATCCACCGGGGAGATAAACTTGGAGCCCCGGTGGATGCCCGAAACCACAGATAGGATTGAACCTTACATATAATATTTTTTCTATACATACTTACCTATGATTAAGTTCAACCTATAAATCACACACAGTAAGAGATTACCAACAACTAATAATAAAATAGAACAATTTTAACAATATGCTGTAGTTAAAGTGATGTGGGTGTGGTCTCTTCGTCTCAGATTATCTGCCCACACTCTGTAAACAGAGAGGACACAGCAGATAAAGGGGGACCGATGTCCCAGGCCGGCCACTGTGGGACCACCTGAGCCTGCACCATGCCACGCAGAATGGCGCACATTTTAAAACTCATGAATTGTTTATTTCTGGACTTTTTCTTTCATGTTTTTGGACCGTGGTTTTACTGCAGGTAATTATAAACATCAAACACAAAACCACGGGTAGGAGAGGACTCTGCCCTACCTTACAACTCAGCAACAAACAATTGGACTCGATATCTGTTAGGCATCAAACATCCATACAGATGTTTCATCGTATGAGTAAAGTCAGGAAGATGGTCATTAATCTGCCTGTGTTATGAAAGGAAAGGAATTCGGAAAAATCAAATTAACTGAGGGGTAATGAAATCCAATGGCAGGCATGAAATTTCCATGTGAGCTTTCTGGTGACACTGAAGGTGAACACCGCACTTAGGAACAGTAGCTGGTCGTGACACCATGCAGGAAGACACGTGACTGAATTCGTGTGCACACATCATCTGAAGACAAACAGGTGAAATCAGTCTGTAATTTACTAAGGACATATAAGTACACTTCCTGGAAAATAGAGCATTTATAATATTTTGGCTTAATGAATGCCTTATTTTGTAATGGGAAATATTGAATTCAGTCTTTACCATTCTTTTCCCCTAACAGCTCTGAATTCCCACGTCAGACTCTTTGATCAAAGGGAGGAAAACAAAATACTTACTTGTGAGGCTATTTCTCGAGACTGACACAGAGAGGGGAAAAAGAAACATAACAAAATGTAGTTTAGACAACGGCTCAACAACATATACACAAAACAGCAGTGAGGACATCTGACAAATGGCCACATACTTTGTGATCTATGTGTTTGATTATGAATCATAGGGCTTTGGAGTGAAATTATAAAATTAATAACATTTAAACTTTGCCAGAAAGGTGTGCTTGTCAGATTTGTTTGTTTTCTTTTGGCTTTGATTTATGGGTTTCTTTTTTTTTCTGCTAAAAATTGTCTTTCTAAGATTTGATAGAAAGAACAACTGGTGCTAATAGAATAAAATAAGACAATTGGTAAGAGTTTATGAAACTACTATATTCACAAGAAAATGTTTGATATAATTATTGATATTTAATAATCATTATGGTATTAATATCTGTACTATTTTAAAATGTAGATCTTAAGATGGTTCTATAAAGTTTTAAAATTTTTATGTTTAGTTCTTATAATAAGACTGTCTTTCCCTCCTGTATAAATTTAACGAAGCTCACAAACACTACTCTAAGTTTTCACATTGGCCACACAGTCTGATAATTTATCTGCTCAGTTATCAGACAACCCTAATTGTTTAGGGTTATAAAATTATGCTACTGATTCTTCAGTTTTAAGACATTTCATTGGGTAGCAGTGAAGTTTTCAGTTATGTGTTAGGAGAGAGAATGTAACTGAAGTATAACTCATTGTCTAGCATTCTAACTATTGTTACAAGCATTGAAAATGCATAATAGACATTTGATTATAGGCTCCTTAAAGCTTCATCTCAGGATTCCTAACACATAGCCCAATAGAATAAATGTCATTGGAGTGAATGATAGCAGAAAATTGGCAGCGAGACTTTCAAAATAATTCAATTTCAATCCTTGTTAAAATAGTCTTAATAATTTGATTTTATAAAAGGTAAACTTTAATTAAAATATTAATAAAATGTAATAAAGTTCCACATTCCAGTTTAATAGTAAAGGTGCAATAATTGGTAGGTGGGGCCATCAATGATTACTCCATTATAAACACTTTTTTAAAGTTACAAGACTTATTGCTTCTGAAAGTGACCAACAATCAGACTAAAGTAGGCCACAAAGTTATTGTGTGCATTGTGCAAAGGTCGGTACTTTAATATGCTTTAAATAATCTCTTTTTAATTTGTAGTATATTTTCACTGGTTATATTACACTTTGAGCAAATGCAATTTTCAGTACACTGGAAAACTGAGGGAAAATACAGTTCTATATTTTCTCCCCCCCAAAAAAAACCCTGATAGAAACAAGTACATTAAGTAATTCATAATGTTTCAGATGTTGGAAAGATAATACTATGTTATATACTTTATGGTCAATTGTACCCTTAATGGGTTTAGGGTAGCGTTTTATAATAAAAATGATTATTTCTTCTATGAAAAGTGTGAATAGTCACTGGAACGAGGAACATCATAACCTCAGGACAGTTCAGGTGAGGTTTGGCTACCAAATGAGTTTGGTGAGCTTTTTGGATTTCAGAATTGTGGATAAAGGGTTGTGAACAGAAATACTATTCTATCTGTTGCCAAGAGGAAAACGAGTCCTTCTCCATCCTGTATTGGATGGAAGAGCCAGAAAAGAATGATGTTCATAAAAAAATAGACCCGTGGATGTTGGCAGTCCCCTGGCATGGAGAAAAGGGGCAGAGGAGCCCCCCAGTTCCCCAGCCTGACTTTCCAGTCACCGTTGCACCCCCACTTCACCCTTCCTCCTCCCTCCACCCATACGTAGCCCACCAGAAAGTCAGAGATCATGTTCCAGGTCTTCTATACATTGTTTGACTTTAATGATGAATATCCTTTGTCATCATTTGTCTCCTCAAAGATGTCTGCTATACTATTCAGTGTGCTTTCTACTCCCACAGACAAAGCAGTGATGTAGTTTACAAAAATTTTTTTCTACAGAGAATATTGGAAGATATGGGAGACAAACTAGAAATGATATAACATGAAAACCTGCATCTGCCTTTGAAATGTATTTTTTTAACTGTGAAATAACAAGGAAGAAAGGCCTACCATCTCTATAATCAGCGTATATAAAATGTTGGCATTTGATAGAACATTCTTCACAGAATAAGATAGAATTGAACACTTAAAGGAATAAACTGCAGAAACAACCAACGATTGGGTCTAATATGACTTATTTATGGGCATGAATCTTAGCTGTTATTTTTATTAGTCATGGATATTGTTTAAATAGTCAGAGAATGCTATTTTTCTAGAAATTCCCCCAATAATCTCCTTTATTTTCCTCTCATGGGATACATCTATGTTTGCCTTTTTAGTTGGACAGTTGTTTTTTATCACTCTGACTCTGTATAATATGTTGGTAGTTATTATTTATTTTCTCTTCTTATTCTGGAAGAAGAGAAATCATTCATCTTTTCCACCTATCCCACTACCTTTTTCATTGCTCTGTATACCAAAATTGTTCATTGTAATTTTGGTTAGATCAGAATTCAGAGCCTGCTGTCGCTGACTGTAATTTACAGATGAACTACACGGGAAGCATGGGGGCCATTCAATCCTATGTAATTTTTGTTTTGGTGGTGGAATTGTGTTCCTTGACTCATAACTGTTTTACCAATTGATTATCTAGGTATGTATTTATCAATAGTTCACCCTGACTCTTTGGCAATGGTCTCATCTTTGTCCGCACATGGAGATGACAGATGTCATCTTCCTGCACCAATGTCTCCGAAGCCTTTGATCTGCTCCAGGTTGCTCTTTATCCTGGATGACCCCTCACTACCAACCTGGAGACTCCTTTGTCCTTATACATGTATCTAGTTTCCATTAAAAAAATCCAATGTCGTTCCTGAATTAGTATTTAATTAGTGCCCTTTTCATTTACATAGAAGTTTGACTGAAGGGATGTTTATTCTAATGATTCTTTTGCATCCTGGAAAACCCCAGTTGAGGGTAAACCTGCACCTCATGGCTTATAAATCTCATAAATGAGGAAACACATAATATACTCATTGTTTCCATAGTGACCCAGAAAACAACTCTTTCTCAAGATGAACTTGTATCTTTTATGTCATGAGACAACAACTATTATTTAATGCAACTGTTCTATTTTTGCTTTACTTCCCAGGGAAATAAAAGTGGAGTTCCAGCTCACCTGTGGCAGCCAGTTCATTTTAGATGTAGAGCAACATGAACTTCTCTGCCCCCATATATTTCCCTGAATGCTTGATGGTCCTACTTTCAATTATTTAAATGTTCTCATTTTTATAATAGGCAGAATATAAAATTTAAATAAAAAGATATGTGCCAAAAGATGAGTTCAATACAGGAAGAGAGGAGATGGTATGTTTATTTAACCCAGTTTCCTTTTATCTTGCCAACAATAAGTGTTTTTTATACGGAAATTTATAAACATTTTTCGGAGGTGATCTTTATTTGCGATGGAAAGAACTGTGTAAAGTTAAATGCTAGTCAAGAGCAACCAAAAAGCTCAATCATCCTTTCTCTTTCTATCTCCTAAACAACATAAGACAAAGTCCCTTCATAAAACAAAACAACCGACATAAATATGCACTTGACCAAAGGCAGCATTCACTCTGTTCAAATTCACAAAGCCTGTATATAAGGTCTGAACCTAACAATACTCCGCAGTATGGAAATCTTCTCGGTACTTCACCAGGTTCAAATATGAAATGATTAATTGCCTAGGTTTAAAAGACCCTTGTCATCAACTTTAACCAGATAATAATTTTGGAGGTCCAATATTCTTAAAATTTGAGGCACATCTGACCACATGTGCTCACATATTTAACTGCCTGCTGTGTGTCTGCTGTCACTCATTCCTGGTTTTCTCTGATTGGGTGTTGCTTTTTGGGGGCGTGAACCACAGGGACCATAGCCAGTGAGGGACGTACTCAGGTTCTGCAGCAGGTGTCCATAAAGAAGTATGAACAGGATCCTGCAGCTACAGGAAGACACCCAATTGCACCCCAGGAAAACAGCACTATTTCCACTGGCTTCCATACCGCCCATTTCAATGTCCAACTCTTGATTTTAACAAGAAAATGAAAAGCTCCCCTACTTCTATGCTTCCTAGAAAGTTCCTGTCTGTACAAGGATTCATCAATTTTATCACAAGTGGGCTTAGCAATTTCATGGACTATTAAAATGCGTATAACTGAGTAGAGCCTTGTAGCTGAGATAATTTTGTGTAAGACCAAAGAAGAAAGGAATGGTTAACTAAATTTTCAAGTAATTTTGAGGTATCTCAAGAAGAAAAATATGTTAATGTGGACCATCATTTATATTAATTTTACAGATATAGATAGGGTAGTGCATTTATTCAGAATTTTTATCCTATTAAAGAGTCTAGTTTGAAACGTGATGCTTTACTAACTATAAACTATTTAGAACCACATAATGTGCCCAAATCAAAATACGGATAAGTTTGAGTCTGCACGCAACATCAGCGAATCTACCTACATCACTGGTCTCTCTCTAGTTTGCTTTCAAAATTATGGAACGTCCCTCCGGGAAGGGCTGGCACTGCCACTAGAGTTTTACCTTGGCCTCAGGGTGGTCTTCAACCAAAACTTTGAAAAACGTTTGTTCCATTCATTGCTCACCAACTTGGCTTGGTTTTGCTTCCTTCTAAAGGCTAACAGTGGACTGAGGGACTCTCTTAGAAAGCCGGAGAACTTTTCTTACACATCGGAAGTTCACTCACAGTTAATTTGCTCCCCAATCATCTCCTGAAAATGAAAAATCCTAGACCTACACAAGACCCTTGGAGCCTCAAACTCACGAAGCCTAGAAGAGGCCCTCGGCCAACCATGTTTTGAGGAGCACTGGCATGGTTTACTAAACAAACAGTTGAGGAAATTTTGCACGTAAAAACTCCCTCCATCTGCTCCGACAGCATTCTTTTTGTGTCTACGACATTTGTCAGAAACCGATGGCTGAGACTGGGGATGGCTGCCTCCCAGCAGGTTAAATGCAAACACTGAACACTGTGTCGTTCCAAACCTCAGATGTAGCCAGTTTCTGCGACTCGGTCCTGTAGATGCCGATGGGCACGTCCCCACTGGAAGAGCACAGCTTCTGGTAGAGCCGGGCGTACGTTCTGATCCACAGGTCGTCCTCCGTGATTTTTATCTGGAACACACAGGGACTGGTGACATATCTGCCTCTTAAGAAATAAAAACCCTAGCGGTTATTTTTCATTTCTTAAAGGTAGAAACTGCTGGTATTTCAAAAGCTGGACGTGCCATTTGCTAAGTGCCTGGCCAGTTGGTAAACTCATTAAACACACACCATCTCAGCCTTTGGGTCTCCCTAACCTAAGGAACCACCTGCTTAACTGCTGGCAGTATGACTTGGATTAGTTCAGTGTCGGGACACAGTGGTCACTGCCGAGTGACTGGGAGTTGTCCGAAGACCTGTGCAGACTTTTTAAATGTTGTAATAACTAGAGATTGCTACCGGAGTCTGGAGGACAGACTAAAAATCTTCAAGTACAAAGGATGCTCTGGTACCAAAGAGAATTGCCCCTCAGAGTAAAAACAACACTCATGTTGGAGAAGGTGTTAGCAGAATGGGCACGAGGCGCACAGACAGGAGGCACACCTAACTCGTCCCTCTTGGATGGTCCCAACTTGGACTTGTCGGCAAGGCACTTCATGAACACTCTTGGGTGTAGTATACCCTTTTATAAAACAACTACAAATCAGCTGAACCGTGTATGCCTTTATGTCTACAGTAGGATATCTTAGGTCAGACACAGTCTGTCTCAAAAAAGCTAGAAAAAAAAAAAACCTGTTCTGAATTCGGTACAGAATGGCTACTTATCGTGATTGCTAATTTAATGTTTTCCCTTGCACATTTTCTAAGAAATTAAAAGCACGATGATACTGTGCTTTATGTACATATTAGGGGGGAAATGACATAGAAGAGAAAGCCTACATCCATTAGAGATGGATTTCAGAGCATTTATCAGAATAATCTTTTATTCCAAAGATTATTAACTTACAGAACAAAGGAACCCCGATCCTGGGATAGTGTCCAATCCCAGCAGAAGTCTGGTGATAGAAATCATATAATCTTTCACAAATGACTGCAACAGAAACAAAATTGTCAAAGGTGTAGAATAGCCACATGTGTGAGCCTCATATTACTGCTAAAAGGTGTTTCTCGTAACATATCATTAAGCCTGGACAAAACAGGAAATAAAAATCAATCTTGTGCATGTCCTAAATACACATGTACAGTTAAGCGGACCATAAGGAAATGTGGAAGTATTTAGAAGTATTTTCTAGACTGTCTTGTCATAAAATTTCATGCATGCTGTTAGACACAATTAAAAGTTTTAGATTTTAATAATGAAAAATGAGTTGGTACAAAATAGGGAATATATAAAAACTTGAAAAAACTAAAATTTGCAATAAAATATTACAAGTTTTTTGGATTCAGCTCAGTGCTACTACAATAAATTTCTAATATTTTTGATAACTAAATATTAATAAATATTTTAGCATTTTATACCATCAGATTCTTTATGTGCAAACATGTAGGATATATTTTGGTATGTTGCTAGAATACTGCTCAGTAGTTAGAATATTAATGATGCTTCTGATATTTTTAGTTTATTATTAGCTGTGGGTGGAAGGAAAAACTTCCAAGCAATGATGACATTGCAGCATAACATGCAACAACTGTTTAATAAACTGTATCAAATGATAACCTTGACTTGGTCATCGAGTGCTAAAATGTGACAAATTTCAGTAATAACTGTGTCCTGACCAGTGTGCATTGGATCTGGGTGTCTTCCTACAAAGCAAAAGGTCACAGGTTCAATTCCAGGGTTTGATTCCTGGCCAGGTCATGTGCCTGGGCTGCAGGTTCAGTCAGGGGTTGGGGTGCATATGAGAGGCAAATGATTAACATTTCTTTCTTACATTAATGTTTCTTGCCCTCCCTTCCCCTTCCTTAAAAAATAATCTAGTTATTTTACATAGCAAAGACTTTCAACAAGTTATAAGGCCTTTTAAATAAATCTACCAAACTGGTTCTTGATCACTCATGTATTTCACCGAGAGCCAGCGTCCCAAGACTGCACCCCTCCAGCTAGAGCTGAACAGAAGAAACCATGGCCATTCTCTTTGTTCAGGCCGAAGAAGTGGCCTTGAGGTTTCGAGGTACGCCAGTCTCCTTGTGGCTGGGACATGAATACAAGAATGCCGATGATGTAAATTTAGGAATTTTGTACATGGTTTCTAACATCTTCCTTTAACCCATGAGTGGGTACTCTTTACCTGTCTGAAAAACAGACTGTGAAAATATCTCCTGTGATGTCAGGAGATCAGTAGGCAGTTACTACTTTAGCTTATATGTTAGACTGTCCTCAAGAAGATTTTATTTCAACACGAGCTACCAAGGCTGAAAGATCTGAAAACCTCTGGCGCAGAGAGACAGCCCATATTTAGCTGATAAAAACTAGTCTGTCTCGACATTGCTCTTCAAACAGTCCTCCCCTCTCACCCGCTGTCCATGGTCAGAGTATGTGTGGGGTAACTTTGGGGGAGGGGGAAGCCAGCCACCTGCAGGGTCCACACAGTGTGTCTGGAAACTTCTGGGCACACAGGCGGTGTTTGTTCTCTGCTCTTGGCTGTCCCTGCTCTCGGTGGGCATAAGCTGATGATTCGAGACATGTGACATTGGAATAGGAGCCCTCAGGGGCATCATTAGCCAGTAGAAAGCCTTCAACTATCTTTGCCTTAGTTTATTCCGGCCAACAGTGCACGAGAGGGCACACAGACTATGTCATCAAACAGTAAATAAGTGCAATGAAATGTTTCAATGTTGAACTTGAGATTCAAGCCATCCAGTCATTTCACACCCTAGGAATATCTTTTTTTCTCATAATGGAGATAGAAATTGTCTGATTTCTTCAATCAGAGGATTTGAAATATTACTGCTGCTCAGTTTCTGGGGGAGTTAGAAAAAAGATTAAAATAGATTTGAGTAAAATAGCATCTCTGTGAACTTCTTAGCTACAATAAAATGCTAAGGTTAGCTTTGGCCCTCCAGAATAATCGGAATGGTTCTCGCTTCTAAAATCTTTCTTATATTTGTCCAAGGTAGGCAATAGTTAGCAGATATTTAAAATATCCTTGGTTTATCGGTTTACTGGAACTAACTTATCTTATTTAAATAAAAGGCATATTATAATTAGGCTGTTGTTTAAATGTAGTGAGTTTTCTTAGCTTTTTTTAGCCCGGTAATGTGAAGATAGCAACATACTACATGCATTAAAATGTCACAATAAAACATTGTAGGACCTCGGTGCTGAAAAACGGCGATAAATTATTTCCTAGTTTCTTTTTAAAAATATAAGATTTTCTTATAAAATGTTTCATCACATTTTATATCATTAAATACATGAAATAAAATATTGAATCACTTTCAGAGCCAGTTTTAAGTGAACCGCTCCGACGAGAAACACTGCGTCGCCTATTTATTTAATAAAGCCTGAGGGAAATAGAAAACAAACGTTTTAGAGAGGAAAGGAGAAAGGGTGCACACCTGGTAAAGGAGTGTGTCCAGCATGCTGATGCTAAACACCCGCCCGGCGGCGAAAGGCAGTCGGAACATGAAGGCCAAGTTAGAGCCCCGCTCTCGTTCTTTCTGTGCAGAAATTTGACAGAGACACATGGTGAGCAGCTTGCATTCATGTTTTCCCGTCAAGTTAACCCTCCTCTCATATCTTCCAGCATGTTGATGAGGTGAGACCCCTTCCAAACTCACTTTATCACAACATCATCCCCTTGATACCAAAGACCAACAAAGATGCCACAAGAATGGATGGATAGCCACCTTCTCTCCCCCTGTGGCCTCACATGCCTGCCAGGGCAGGGGGTGAGGAAGCTGCCAGGGTACCTGTTAAAAAACTCACTAATCCATCCCATTCACCAGGAGGTCCACCCCGATGGCCAGTTCACTAACCTGAAGCCCCACATGAGGGGTCAAGTTTCAACAGATGAATTCAAAGGGGACACAGACATGTGGTCAATGGCAACTTGAACCTGCTGTGTAAAGTCATGATATTCTATTTCTAAAAGATACATTTGCACTTAAACTAGTTGTCCGTATACATTACATTCTGTCACTCCTCTAGAGTCGATCAGGGGAGGTTTTCCTACACTTAAAACAAATAGAAACTAATCAGTATTCGCTTCAAATTCTTTCTGGACCAATGTGAAAAAACATAAGTGTTTTCTTAAAAACAAGGCAAGAAATTTTCCTAAGGAATCAAATCCAGTGTGTGGGGAGATAGCGCCAAACTCCTACTCAGCCATTCCCGTCCTTAGATTATGAATAAACAGTAGTCTGGCCCTTTAAAGGGGAAAAACAAAGTGAGACAATATGCTTTAGTTTCTTCTTACGTATCTGTCTCCCGTGAAACTGTAAATGCTGTGCATCTCGTTGGTGTAGTTCCGAGCTTGTCACAAGGTATTTGGCTCATAGTGCCCAGTAAATATTCATTTGGCTTGAATTTTAATTGAGAATGTGTAAAATTTTGCCTAGCAAATAGATTTAAAAACAGCTTTGATATTCTTGCCTATTTCTCCTGGAAGCTATCTCCATTTGTTTTGTCTTGTTTTTTCTTTTGCTCTGTGGTTCACTATGGTTTACAGACATGACTACTTGCTTTCTGACATCAGTTCTCTGACATTGACTGGGTCTCCGCAATTCGGGTCAGTGCCGACACTAACTACCCAGACGTGGCCACTGCTCTCATCTCCAGTGCTTCTCCAAGCCAACGGCACTTCCATCCACGCAGCTACAAACCCAGGGCTCCCCACAGCCCTGCCAGGTTCAGCAATTGCTGGGATGCTCACAGATCCGGTGAACATGTTACACCTCAGGACCACCATCTTTTTGTAAAAAATGCACAGGGACAGCCAATGAAAGGCAGGTCCGGAGAGTCCCCAGGCACAGGAATGTCCCTCTGACATCCCCCTCTCCTGTCAGTATGTCCACCAAGAAGGGCCATCTGCAGTCTTGTTTTGCAGAGCTTTCATCGAAGTTTCGTTATGGAGGCGTAATTAATGAGACCATTAGCCATGTGATTAAGCTCGTCCTTGGAGCTGGGATGTGATGAGGGGCTGAAAGTTTCAATCTTCTAATCAAGCGGGGTTTTTTCCCCCGGCAACCAGCCTTATCTCTGAACTACCTACGGGCCCCTCCACAACTTGCCTTGTTAGCATCCAATCAGTTATGATTGAAAGGCCTGAATAACGAAAGGCCCTCCTATCACTCAGGAAGTTCCGAGGGCTTTTGTAGCTCTGTGCCGGGAGCTGGGGACAAAGACCGAATCCCTTTTTCTGATGACACCACTCTGCTCATCTCACATTCTTGTTACCCCACTTCTTCCATCAGTGCCTAATTACCACGTGATTGCTACAGTCGGGTCATCATCAGCACTGGGGAAGCGGGGTGAAGTTCAAAAGCAATTGTAAAGGAAGCAGTCTTCCAGCCAGCTGTGCTGTGAGCATAAATAAAAAGCCACTTTATAAAGTGCATCCAAACCAGGGAAGTTTGGGAAACGAAGTAAGCGGAGAGAGAAATGAGACAGAAATGTCTGCTTTGTCTATTATTGTCATCCTCGTCTCTGATCTATGATTCCTTGTCGCATTTTTCGCTCTGCTTAGTTTTGCTACCAGAAGTGTCAGTGACACAAGATGACCAACCAAGGGACAAGATCTCTCCCACATATTCACTCATGATAAAAAAATAGTTTAAATCCATTCATTCACATTAAAAAAATCTGCACATGAAGAGTTTAGCCCCGATAGGAATTCAAAGCAGCATTTTTAGTTTTGCTATCTCATGGCATTTCTTTCTACACAAAGTCCCAGAGCTGTTTTTTCACACCCAGGGAGATGCGTCCTACCTTTTCCAGTTTTGAGAGGGCGAGGGAGTAGCAGTCTTTGGCTCGGAACTGCATGAAGCGCATGTTGGCCGGGTGCGTGAGCTCTGTGATGATACTGAGGCTGGAGAACAACCTGCAAGGCGAGACGGCGTTTGCTTTACACCCACGATGTTGTGTGGTGCAGTTCAGACCCGTGTGTTTCTGAGTGAGCGTAGCCCCAGGCTCAGCCACAGCCACAGGAATTGGCTGCAGCAGCCCCTGCCTCCCCACAGGCCCACCCAAGGCCATGGGTTTTTGGAAGAAGATGTTAACCGATGTACGAGCACTACAACAAAAAATAAATTCAATAGTTTGGCTTTTATGACACATTTTCTGTCTACAATTATGAACAGCACAGAAGAGACACTCACAAAGCTGACATCAGAATTTCTGAGGTCACTGTATGGCAAATGTCGGTATGGAAATGTATGAGATTAATAGCATCATTTGGCAAAAATTGTATGTGATGAGCTTATGGGTCACATGTGAACCTTTGATCTCCTACAGCTTCCTGGTCTCATGGTACGCAATTGTAAATCTCAGTTCTCGCTGCAGTGTACTTCTGAGGAGTGGAAATGTTTTAATTGAAATAATATTTCATCGTAATGAAATGCGATCAAGGCTAAGGTCAGTGTTGTTCTCAGAGGACCCTGAGAATTTCCATGTGTGCAATAGCTTTGCATTTACTTCCCACGAAAACACACACACATTCACACATATAACCCCCTCCTGCCCCGGGAAACAGGGGCCAGGCAATGCCACAGCAAATGCCTTTTCATGGTGGCCGCTGAGGTCGATCTGATTTCCAGTTGGTGCCTCGGTCGCTTTTCTGGTCCACACAGGTTGAGATTCTTCAAGGCAGCCTCTTCCCCTAATGCTCTGGGATGTTCTCCACGCAGGATGACTTTCAACTCAGCTCTGGCCATTTAAAGCTCCCACCACCCAGCTGAACCCATACCTTGAACTTGAACTGATGGAAACATGCAGGACAGAGACACCCCGGGGAGGGCTCACACCCAGGCGGCTTCGCCAGCTGCCCTCACTCTTCTTCCAGGCTCGGTCCCATAGTGAGCCGGCGGTGCTTCCACTGGTCTGAATGTGGACCGAGGGGCCTCGTGGGGGCCATGCCGCTTCTACAAGGGGAGCCCAGTCTCTGAACTCAGCACCGCGGGGAGTGTGCGCATTTCCTCAGCTCTGACTCTGTAATCCCAGTGAGACTGGCCAGAACCTGTCTCTTACCCCAGGGCGGTCAGCCTGGCTGCCTCTGCACACCCGCGGGTCTGTTCCCTGGCCTGTGGCCAGACGTTCCCTGTCTACCTGCCCTGCCCGTCTGTCTCCACTGGGCCTGAGGCGCCAGCTCCGTTAAGACTCTGAAAAACCCTTAAAAATACCTTGAGTTTCCTGTGAAACTGTATGCCCTCTTGGTTCAACTTCATGGGCAAATGTTTGAGCCTTATCTAATCAGAGCCTTTGAAAAGTATGGTATCTGGTCTTTCATAAAATCCACACTTTATAGGAAGAAACAGCCAGTAGTATATGGCTTCTGCTCCATTCTGAGAGCAAATATTATCATATTTCTTATCCGGGTATGCGGCAACAATTGGAAACATCAGTAACACAACACTTTCTAATGTTAAAAAATCACTGTGTTTGCGTAGATACCCAGTCCCCACAGTAGTGCGGTCGCCCTGGGCGGGTTGAGGAGCCTCTCACTCCCGATTCTGGGGGGGGGGGGGGGGGTGCAGGGAAGCCGAGTGAGGCTGTTAGTGACGGACTGGACTCAGCCTCGGTTGCTGGTTCTCAGCGGTGGTATCACTCTTTCAGGAGCTTTTTTCTTACGTTGCTGTTTCTGCTTGACATGCACTTTCCAGACTGTTCCATAAAGTTCCTCTCAAACCTAATGGAGATGAAGTTCTAAAGTTGTCGAAGGCAGCGCCGTTTTCTCCCACCCTGGCTCACTCGGGTTCACTACACCTGTCTTGGCACTAAACTCCGGTTGCTTTCATCCACGCTTTGGCTTAGCTCGCTGGCTACACCCCGACAGCTAAGAAAGGCAACCTGTCCCTGTCAAATGGTGCACCTACTTCTTTAACTAATAACTCTTTGTTACCATAAATAATTGCTCAATTCTTCTTGGTGCATTTTTGGTTCTGTACATGAGCTCTTGATGAAGAGACTGTTACAATTTAACTACTTTATGTAGAAGTACTATATTATCTGTATTCTTTCAGAAGCGCTTCTTACTCAAACATTATCAAAGATAGCAAGTTTAGAGAAAGTTATTTTTGGGGGGAACCTTTGAAAAATTAGAAGAGTGATTTGATGGGGGAAAAAAACAGTTGACTTCTGGGCTGGCACCTCTCCATCTGGTAAGCCCAGGAAGCGCATCCGTCTGCCAAATCTCATACCACCCAGGAGTTCCGAAAGTATGTATTTCAGAAATATTTTAAAAGAACAGTGTCACTGTGAAAATTAATAAAGGAAGCTTCAACTAAAACTGGGATGCGGAAGCCCCATAGGAGGACCTGTTATATACTCTATAACCTGTCAATTACTCTGGAATGCATCACCATGCCAAGGTCAAGCTCAGTTCATTCAGTTAGACCCGACAGGACGAGAGAGCGCTGGTCCGCAAGATCTAAAAAGAAGTATAAAGTGAAACTCCTGCCTTTAAATTAGACTCTATGCCCTCATAGAGGAAACTACAAAAATTCACAGTTTACAAGACTGTCATATTTTTCTAACGGTGATAAATGTGGTGGAGTGAATGTTCTCAGATTAAGTAGCATGATACCAGTGAACCCAGAGCTTGTGGGAAACCTCTGGGACTCCGCTGAGACAGGAGGCCAGAGAAGGACTTCTAGGCAGGAAACAGAGCTGCCGGCAAATGAAAATGTATCTTGTCTTTTGGGAATTTTTCTTTGAAAAATAGAGCTTTTGTCTCTCATATACATTATTGAAACCAGATGAATTTGTGATTACGTGGAGAACATAATAGAACATAATCCTTCTCTAACACATGGTTTCCAATATAAGTACACACACCTGTGGCTAGACACATTTGAGGTCTTAGGAAGAGGGAGTGATAATACGATCGGCCCAGCCAGGCATGTGAACAATTGGTAGAGTTGGAATTAGGGCAGTGAAGTGTACGGGACATGCACCTGTTCTGTTCAAGGTGAATGAACCTGGAGCTTTAGTTATTTTAAACGCAGGAACTGAGTGCGTTAGCTAAGCCTGCCACCTAGTGAAAACCAAGGACTAAATAAGACTTAAATAATAAGACATTTCATTGCAGCAGCTTTTATGTTTCTAATGTATTACTTGTATTCAAGTATAAAATTTTATACTTAAAATTTGAGCTGTCTCATAGTCTTATTTATGTATTTTTAAAATGCTAATGCTGTACATCTCTTTCTGAGCCTTAACATGACCCACATACTTTTTGCATATAGAACGTTTTAGAAATTAAATGACATAATCAGTCTCTTTTCCCTGGGTACTAGGATCATACTAAAGCAATAATATATTCCAAAATAATCTAGTTTGATCTACTTAAAACTTGTCTACAGTTGGTTTATGTTCTGACTTAGTGGTGTATGTATCATTGTGGAGAAGTGTTGAATACCTTAAGGAGGAGTCTCTGCCTGAATTAACTCATCTGATAAATATTTTTGACATGCCCAGTTATGCTAACCAATATAAAGAGGAAAAATAGACTTCACTTTATTCCACAGACTACTGGTGATACACTGGTAGAACTCTGAGACCAGCCGTTTGTACTGAACACATACTATTTTTTCTTGCCCTTCTTCCCTAAGCAACACAGTATAATAGCTACCCAGCATTTACACTGTGTGAGATGTAAGTAATCTAGAGATTACTGAAAGTGTACGGGAGGATGGGCCTAGGTCATGTGCAAATTCTATGCCACTTTATAGAAAAAGACTGGAGCATTGTGGATTTGGGGACCCAGGGTTTCCTGGACCCCATGCCCCGGGATTACAGGTTTGTAACAGAGACTGATACCTAACACCAGGGTCTAACTGGGGCATCTAACAGTTCTTCTGAAGTTTCTGCTTGAAACTATTCAGCCTATTCAGATGGACTTGTGCACCTGAAAACTGCACACTTTCTAAAATGTTTTGCTGAAGACAAGAAATCTTAACAGTGAAGGGGCGCAGAGTTATTCATCCATTCATCCTTCATCCTTTCAACACCTGACGACCCGCAGCCTTTGCCGGTCAGTTTCCACGTGCTCAACTGCCCTTAGACATTCCAGCCAGTCAGTTTGTTTTAAATGGTTAATTAGAGCCTTCACACCTCTCAGTAAAATGAGGGTATATTATTACCTTGGAATCAAAATAATTCCTTCAGATACTATATAGTAAAAGTCCAATCCACAGAAACTTTACTATAGTAGAAAAAACTCTCAGAAAGTTAAAATTAAAATGGCATGTTTAATCCGAACAACTTAAGATCCTTTCCAGTTAAAACTGTAATTAGCTTCTGCTTAGCATGAATTTTTTTAAGTATAATTTTACTTTATTCACCTGCTATAAATCTTATTCTTCTGAATTAATTTTCTATGCTGCAATTTCCTTTTTTTATTTTCTAGAGAGAAAAGACTTGCTTATACCAGTCATATTTTGAGCATGCGCCATGCTACCTGTAAATGCACTATCTTATATAGCTCAGCATGTCAGCTCCATTCTAAAGAACCCTCCTTATTATAGTACTTTAGAGGGTGTAGTTCTCCGGCTGCCGCAGAAGGTTCTTATACTAGTTCAAGGTCGATTTTCCAGGTGCCACGATGGAATCTTTGTATACCCAAATCCCGGTCTTTGCATTAACACCCCAAAAGGGTTAATTTAACTACTTTTCACATGCATTTTATACCGATGAGGGAAATCATTTCCAGAAGGTCAAGAAGCGTACTTAAGAGTGAGTGTCTGCCAGCACCTCAGATGGCAGCGGTGCTGCTGATAATTGCCGCAGCTCCCGTTGATGGAGTGACTGAAAAGAACCAGGCATGGATATTTTAAAATGTCTAACAACCTGTGCTTAAGACATTGAGGCTCAGAGAAGGAAGGTCACACAAACATCCAGACTGTCTTCTGAATTCTGAGCTCGAACTGTAAACAAATAATCACCATCAATACAGCTTTTGCTATAATATGAAGAAGCCACAAGGGGAAGCAAGGGGAGCGGACCACAGAGTTTGGATGGTTTCAGTGACTTCCGCTGTTCGGGAGCTCAGCTATTTCATTCAGACTTCTGCCAGACTCATAGAGCTGAAACAGTCGTTTAGATATTTGCATTTTCGAATTATTTTAAGAAGAATTATCTCTAGTGGCACAGCTGTCTTGATCTGTGGATGACTTGGACTTTGCTCAGAGCATGAACTTTTCTCTGCTCAGGGTGGCTCCCTCTCACCCAAAGGTGACCGCAGTGGGGACTCCGGCCTGGGTGAGTTTCACAAACAGGGGCAGGAACACAGTGCGGGTAAGGTCAGGCTCCGCCCTCACAGCCCCGTGACCTTTCACTCCTAGTTACCCAGAATGTAAGGGCGTGCCTTTGGCCAGTGGTCTGCGTAAAACCAGCAGGAGAACACGCAGAGTCCACCACGAATCATGACGGCTACCGAACATGCTTTCTAGGCTCTGTCCTGGCCAAACTATACAAGAAAACAGATTTATTGTTCTACTTATTTTTTAAAAGAATTACTAACCTGGTGTCAGAAATTTAGTTTCACACAGTGGCAATCGACCAGTGGGCATTAAAGAAATATTTGTATTCGGAGCCAGTGAATGATGGTGACGTCATTGTAAGTGCCCCATGTCCCCTCTTACACCTGCTGTTGAGGGGACAGGGAAGGGCAGGGAAGGGCAGGGCCGGGCTTGCGGGCCCTTCAGTACCTGAACAGGGTCTGCACATTCACGATGGTCTTGGCATCGGCCATGTAGTCCTCCTCCGCGCTCATGGTGCTCTCCTTGTCCACCACCACCATGTTCGCCGCGAACGTCACTCCGCACCTGAGCAAGTCGTCCAGGCTTGGAGGGAAATCAGGAGAGAAAAAGGCACTTTCAGCAAAGCCCAGGGCTAGAGGGGGTTGGTACTCAGACTCTCGGTCCCCTGTGCCCTGACCTGTGGCTTTCACTGACTCGTGCCCCAGAGATGCTAGTGGGACAGTGTTATCTACCAATGGGAGGCAATGTGTGTATTTCTGGAGCTCTTTATATTTTATTAGATCTCGACTGTGTCAATGCATGTGCATTTAATAATAGTTATTAATTATTTTAATAAAACATGGTACCAAAATGTTAGAACTATATTTTTACAGTTAGCATACTATTTCCAAAACATTTACCCATTTTTTTAATCCCTAAAGGGAGTGCTTTTGGTAATAGTACAAATGAATGCTTATGTTAATTGGGATGGTTGAATCTTACAAAGATATATAAAACTGTGATGTTTATTTTAGAATTTCTATTATTTCTTTCTCTAAAGCTCTGAATTACAGATTGGCTCTTCCCTGCCCAGAACATATACAACATGCAAATATCAGTGGTATTCAAGCCTACTGTTTAGTGAGCCTCTCGTTTTTTGACTAAGTGACTAAATGACCTGGTTTCCTGGGTTGCACTATTGTGCTAACCTAGCTTATGAGTTCCTACAGGTCGTGATGGTCTCTATCTCTGAGAAGTGTGCCTGTCACTGGATGAAAGGAAAATGTTACTCTCAGAGCAGAAACCAGGAAACCACTCTCTCATTGCCTCTGCTTCCTACAAACTAGAAAAACAGGTCTGAATCGGATGGGAGAGTAAACTTGAATGAGTGTAGCATCGTTCTAGGTATAGAGGTGGTGGAAGACAGGTGAGAATCAGGCTGACTGGCTTCCACAGCTTCTGATTTAAGACAGGAGGTGTAAACCGTGAAGAACAGTAGTTCCTTTGAGATTCTTGAACTGGAGTCAGTTGCCTACAGACCTTTTCAAGTGCTGATTGAATTAGCCAGTGGGAGGGGCTCGCCTGCCTCCCCTGGGAGGCAGGAGGCAGGATTTCTTACTCTGTTAGAAGGCAGAGAGCGTCACCAAGGCTCTGAGTCCAAGGTCCCCAGGAGGGGTCCAGAAAAAATACTGCACTTGAGTCAGGAACAGTGTTCTGTGGTAGATTTTATGGCTAAAACTGGGGAGACAGAATGTTATTCCAAATAAACATCCTATGGGGAGAAGGGCCATTCAATCAGTATGGGGACTGAGTTAAATCCCTAGGAATACTTCATTTGGACATTCCATTTATCTAGGAAATTCATTGTAATTGTTCTTACATCTATTAAAATGCATAAATAAAGAAAGAAGTAGGTGGGAAATGAAGGCACTATGGTCCCTTAGGGGCCATAAAAATTATTGCCTCGGCCATGTGCCTTCAGCCCACTTTATTATAATTTTAAATCACTGTTTGATATTTCTGATTGTAACACCTTTTCTCTGTCATGGAACATAATCTGTCCATGACACTCATAGATATAGGAGAAGGGAAAGACAGGTGGTAGAAGGTGGGCTTGCCTAGAAAAAGATGTACAGATAGAAGTTATGGTAGGAAAGATGCCTATGTCATAAGCAATAGGTCAATGAAATTGAAATTTGACCAAAATTCCTCTATGAAAGTACCTGTACTAGACTGCTAATCCCTTAAGGTATCAGCTAATGCTATACCCAGAGTACTGGCTGTTGTGGTTTACATATAGTCTTGGCAAGTGAGATTAGTAACTATTATGAAATGAGCTTAAGTCTAATCGAAAATATTTTTAACCAATTGGAATGGCCTATTTGAACGCTGGGCCAATATTTTTATTCTTCGCATCTTAATTTTAAGTTATTATATTTAAATTCATTTAATATTGCATTATATTCTCTTTTCCTTTTTTATTAGGCTGCCAGTGCATTCTTATAACTGTATCTTGCCAATGTATTCTTATAACTGTATCACTTTCCCATAACCAACCATCTTCAGCATGGCTGCTTTACACAGTGTGGCCACCAGATGGCAGAGCAAGAAAAAAGTCAACAGGGATGGAAAAAAGTTCCAGAGGATAAATAATGAGCCCTGTTTCCCTTTCTCTCCTTCCCTAAGACTTTCAGGGAGAACTACAATGTGAATGTCAGAGTGTAAGGGAGTGTGTTCGATTTCAAAGGGGTTTTCGAAAAAATTTCAAACAGGAGCAAAAGAGAATCGTGAACCCTCACGTACCTAACAGTCACCCTGCTTCAACAATTATCAACCTGGAGTCAATCCTTGACATAGGAATTAGATGCTCTCAGGCCTTCTCTTCGCCATACACACTTGTTCAGAGGGCAAATTCGTTTTGTGGTTTACACAGGCAAAGATGGTGGGAGGTTCGTTTCTTGTCTTTTAAACATCCTGTTTCCCTAGTGAATTTGAATTGAATCCTATCATTTCAAAGAAACATTCCTACTGATTAAATGTGGAGTAAGTTCTCTTTCATAGATTTACATCATTTTTATATATCTAACTACACTACAGTTAGTTGGTTAGCATTATGACAAGTGATGATGTGAATTTTAATACAGAGTGGAGGCTAAATACATGTCATTCTGTTTGGTCTTCGATGCCCCCACAGCCAAAATACTGTCCTAGTTAATAACTTTGTTTTTTCAACATCTACAGGGTGAGATGTAAGCGTGAAGGTTCTCTGTTGATAAAGTTAAACATTTCATTTTGAAGGCTCTGGCTGGTACTTCTTAAAAATAAAAAGTTAACCTATTTTATAAGCATATTAATTTTACAATCTTTTAGTACTTACATTTTTATAATGTCATGTTCATGCATATAGAGGAATCTGTATTTTAACACTAAACCATCGCACACATTTGACCTTTTAAGTAACACGTTTTTAGAAATGGTGAACTCTGATATATGTTCTTGGAGTACACGCATTCAGAAAGGCTCCGTTTTATAACCCTGACTTAAAAGTGAGCGTTTCTGAATTACATGGGAGGTCCCCTGCAGTTAGGGCCATGGTACCAATGCATTCTCATGCTGAAGCTGCAGACTTTTCTCTACCAGATATCAAAGGCAGCAATGCTATTAACCGACACACAACTGCAACAGCTTTAGCAACTGGACAAAACGGACAAAATCGACATGCAGCAAAATTTGCTTTGATTCCACCACAGATTACTGCTTAGGAAGTTTGAATGCAGGATGGCTACAGCTCAGAACAATGCACTCTACATGCAGATTACATCACGTATGCAGAGCTAGAACAGCCCATTCCACTGATCATGCAACACGGGGCACAGCGCGGCGGACCACAGGACACATACTAGTTAGCGTGACACACTTCGCCACCTACTTGTCAATAGAGCCCACCATGTAGTAAACCATTGGGAACCAACAGATTGCGTCCAGAAAGTGTATTTCTGGCCTAAGTGGTGGATGGGTTACAAAACGAAACACAATGTCACAATGGCGGCAACACTTCCAGGGAAAGGAAGTCGACTTAGTTGGCATTTCCAGAACTAAATACTGCTGACAAGATTAATTTAGGTACTTTTTTGTTCTTAACATTAGTTAGAAAGTATCACTTGTACATACTATAAATAATACAGTGAACTTGGAGTTATAAAAACAAGTTTTCAGCTTTATAAATCAGAAACATTATGGCATTATGCTACAAAAGTACCGAATTGATACTCTTAATTATGACTAAAAAGTCTTGTCAGTGAATTTAAAAATTATTCTTGCAGAGGAGACCTTTAAAATGAGAAACGAGGAAGTTTTTTCTTAATTGACCCAGAGGAACTAAATTAGCCTGCCTACTGAGAGCAACTTTCTTGAAGAATATACAGAATTATACCCCTTAATATATCAACAGATCAATAAATAAATGTAGTATATGTAACCATGGAATATATGCATTGTAAAAAGTCAGAGTACAAGTAATTCAACTTTTAAATTATTGAATTTCTTAATACATATTGTTGAACAAAACAGACTGAAATTAGCTAGTAATAAAAAATAAAAATTCAACAAGTAGAAAATAATTGATATTAGTTACAGAAATAAAAGGTTCACAGCACTAGTCAAAGTCTGAACTCACATCATCTTTTTAAAAAAGAGGACTCCTCACAAGTCGAAAGCATCACGTCCTCACGAAAATCTTTCACTATAAAAATTGCCACTATATGCAAATATCATTAGCTAATTATTACTAGGAAATGAAAAGGTTTGTGAATTTGCATGGACTTGAAAATTTGAAGATCATTATTTTTCCACTTTACGAATTCCTATAATAAACTTAATTTCTTTATTTCAAATTCAAGAAACGAAGGCAGTGAGATAGTTTTTTTCCTTAGCATTTCATAATTTCTCTGTTAAGTAGGTTACTTCTCCCCTAAAAGTATGTAAGTAGTTCTATTTCCACTGCTTAAAATAAATTTCCCTTTTCCTGTTTATTGGGTCTGCACACCAGTCCACCCATCCGTTAGAATCCTGACAGTGTTGGCTTCTTGAGTGGTGGAAGGGAGGGACACCGTCCCTTCCTGACTGATTTTTAGGAGTCCAATTTCGCACTAGCGTTAAGATGAATGTTGTACTCGTTTTACAAACGAGATGAGTGGGGTGTAGAGAGAAGGTTGGTAAGCGACAACAGGCCTATCTCAGACGCGGTTGCCCCCGTCTGTGTGAGGCCAGAGTGTGGATGCCTTTAAGGAGAGCGCTGGCCTCTCGGGCACGTTAACCAGGACTTTGGAGATCAGCAGCCTGCGTTTGCTTGACTCTCTCTGGGAAAAGAAGACGGATTCAGTAAAGGGCCAGTGTGACCCAGACGCTGTAAAAATTAGGGTCAGACGCCTAGACCTTGCACTTCAACTTGGCTTTGCTTTGGGTCACATGTTCCAAAGCTCTTCACTCTCGTTCCCATTTCTCCCGAAATGCTGTGATCAGATGACCGGATGACCTTCGAGGTCGGGGTAGAGATCGTCATGAAATCATCATGGCACAACCACAGACGAAACAAAGCGGAGGGCCAACCAGGCAGAACTCTGACCGGCCCTAAGGAACCAGTGTCAAGCACAAGGCGTTTTCCCTTGGGGCTGGTTTCCTTTAATCGCCGTAAGGGATCTGCAAGGCTTTCTACTCGAAAACATGGTGACCACATAGTTTGACACCTTATGCGTCAATGTCATAAATGTAATTCATATATTCAAATCCCACATGTACCAGGATTTCAAATCGGTTGTTATTTCTGTTACATTGAATTAATTGGCCTTTCAACTAAATTTCCTAAATAGCCACATACTGCGAATTATTTTCATCAGTACTCGTGAATTTAAAATAAGTCCAATCCCACTAAGCTAACTAATACGTGTACTGTGGACAATCATTAGGGTGCAGATTCTCAGAACATGGAAAGCTTTTTAGAATTAAGCGTTCTATTCAAAATTTCTTAGCAATGGTGTAGAGCACACTGCGAAATGCTAGCCACTGCAGAGCAAGGGATCGCCTTCTTGGAAGAAGGGTTCCATAAAACTTCCTGGAACATGACTCAGTGGTCTTTAACTTCTGCTCCCTCATTTCTGATCAAAGGAAGAGAGGACAGCAAATAAAAATATTAGATACCACTTTCGGGAAGTACTCAGAAGCTAATAAATTTTACAGCATGCCCAGTTATACCCTCTGGAAGAAAACAAACCCCACAAAAATCCTGTAACAGCCAACGTCATGGGAACAGTTGGATTGCAAAATGTTAAGTCATGAGAGAAGCAAAGGAGATTTTTCATGCAAAATAACCCAAAGTGAAAGCCCAATTTTTGTTTCTAAAAAGAACTGACCATGTATTTTTGCATATATCAAAAATCTGTATGATAATATTATATAGGAAAACAATGAACTATGAATGAACTAGAAAGTTCTAATTCTAGAATTGATCTGGGCTTGCAATTGGCTTCTAAAGCAGGGGGTGGGGAACATTCCTATAGGATTGAGAGTTGATGCTATTTCTGGGTAGCTGTTGTCAGGATTGGGTTGAATTGCAGGACCCCCAGCTGGTATCCCCAGCCAGCATTGCTTGTTGGAGGCCTGGGGAATGCCCACCCCCAACCTACATTGAAATGGGATCCAGGAATGCAGATAGGAGATACACACATCAGTGGGGCGAGGACCGCTTTTACCCTTCACCACAGGGATGCTATAAGCACAGTCATGCTTCTCTCTTTCCAAGTCTCCTCCTGTCTCCCTTCTGTATTCTAGGGCCTGAGTTAACCCACCTTGGTCCAAGCCACACCAGAAGCAGGTGCTTCATGGCAGTCAGTTTGCAAATGCCCTTGTCTTCAATCCTGTCACTAAGGGAGTGGTAAAACTGAAGCAAAAAAGAGCTAAAATGACACGTTTGAATTCACATAGTTAAATGGGCATCTCTGTGTGACAGTTCAGCCAGTCCCTTAGCACTTTCCACCAGAGAAGTCCCCAAATTAGCATCCAGTCAAGGGCTTTGGTGAGTTTGTAACCAGTCTATTGCCAAGGCCACCTCACAACCCACCTCTTATGCTCCTAAGATTCATATGAAACGAGTAAGCTTCCATGTCTTGTGACATTAGGTCCAAGTTTCTGTTCCCCCACACCTGCCCTAAATTGACCTCACCTGTGCTGGGATACCCACTTAGTATCAAAAAGCCACTGGGTCATCATACGTGAAAATAATTAAACTGAAGTCTCTAGGAGTGTGCTCAATTTTTAGAGTTGAGCATCATTGTAATGATGATGCTAAAAAAAGATGCATCAGTAAGTACCTTGATATTGGTATGTTCAGAATAGACAAAACCATGAAGTGGTCATATATTGGGGAGCTAGCTCTGTTTTGAGAAATTCCACTTGATAAATTTTAAAGGCAGAGACAAGACCACAGATTCTGGCCTCATTCAGTTTATCCTGAAATTTGCATCCCTTTGGAATTTAAGAAGAGAGCTGGAGCATCCTACCCTATGGTGTTGCTCTAACGACCATCTGCTGCTAATTGTCAGTCACAGAGAGGAATATCATAATTTTAGGGTGCAGTCAGTTTGATCATAGCATTCAGTGACCTATATTTATACTTGCACAAGGATTTTGAAATGCTTGCATAGTCTAATTTCACAAGAGTATATCAACCTAACATTTTCCAAGTGAGTGAGCAAGGTAAAGCATTTTTTATTCATGTTATGTTAGCAAATGTATTCTTCTAACAGTGGAAGAACCACCATAACTCACGGCACAACAGAAAATGGATCATTAATATGCCTCTCTGATAATGAAGGGTTCTTTAGAAAGACAGTGAAGCACCCAGTGTGGGCAGAGCTCTTCCAGTCTAGTTGATTCATTTGAGGAAAATAACTGTAATTATTTTGGTGGCATGTGTCCCACTGGTATGGAGTGATGACCACTCGCAAAATACTTCTAACCAGAATGCTGAGGGTATTTCAGCAGTGTTTTAAGTGGTATTTGTGAAATACAACCAAGTTCAGTGATTAGCTGGTACCACAGCCCAGAGTACATCACCAAACACATCACGTGCCATAATGTGTCTGATTCAAAATATTATAAGCAAATGCAAAGTATTTTTGATGTAATATTAAATACTCTTCATCTTGCTCATGTTATTTACTTGTAAATATACTTACGGGTTATCCAGTAACAGTACGATAGGATTGAGTTCTTTCTTTGGTCTATAATACGCCCTGAGAGGAACAATAAAATTATACAATCCATTTCCAGCCGTTTCAGCTGCAACTATAATTAGTTTATTTTTGAATCCATAGGCCTTGGCATCTTCATAGTAGTTATGCTGACAACTCTAAAGAAGAAAAATGATACAAAGGAACACCATGTTCATACCCCACTAAAATTTGGTGAAAAGATATTACAATATATGGATGTGTAAACTTAATCTAACCCAGGAAGTCCTTTATTTCCCAACAGATTTGAAAATAGTCACATTTTCCTATGTCCACTTCTCCAGCGTGTTTTAGGCAATGATATGCGTGATCAGACAAATCAACTGCAAATAGGTAGCATAATGTGGGGGAAGAAAGAATCAGCAACATGTGTGTGCACATGTTCTACTGTAAAGTAAACTTATTGCTAGGTGATATGTGGGTGTCTTTGTTTAAAAATTATGGCAATGTTCATGCGTATGAAAACATGTCACATACGGCAAATATATATATAACTTCTACTTGTCAGTCATACTTCAGTGAAGCTGGAAAAAAGTGATTTACCTGTGACTTTCATTTCCATAAATAAAGTGCTAGCATAATTAAAGAACCTGGAACAATTGGCAGCACAGAATATGGGAAGGGGTTCTGTGGTTGTTGGAAATGAGAGTTCACAGGTTTGAGAGCTGGGCACCTCTGTGAGTCACTGGGTAGTTTCACAGAGAGACAAAGCACTTGAATAATCTTAGCACAGCGAAGAAAGTAAAACTCACCATATTATGTATTGCACTTACATTTGCAAAGATAATATGTTTGAACCTAGTTTACTCTGTACAAAATTATTTCATATGTATTAGACTGTAAAAGTGATTTGGATATATGTAATTACAGAATATAGTAATTTAAACAAATATTTTATTTATTTTATTTTTAGAGAGGGAAAAGGGAGGGAGAAAGAGAGGGAGAGAAACATCAATGTGTACGCGCCTCTCCAGCACCCCCTACTGGGTATCTGGCCCCTAACCCAGGTCCATGCCCTGACTGGGAATCAAACCTGCGACCCTTTGGTTTGCAGGCCAGCACTTAATCCACTGAGCCACACCAGCCAGGGCCAAAATAGCATAATTTAAATCTGCAGGAAATAACGGTAGCAAATGCTTACCTTGTCTAGTCGTAAGCAGCAAAATGGCACTTTTTCATGGAGGAGATGGCAAAACGTGGGCGAACTTCCTATGTAGGGGGAGTAGGGTGGGTAGCCTTTAGCGTACCTGCAAAGCAGTATGAGATTCTGCATCACCTTGAATAGCACGGCAGAGCTGGATGATTAAGTCAGAGCTACGACCCTCTATTTCGGTAAAGCCGGATACAATGCCTTTATGTTGTAGCTACATTTTGATAAGGAAGTAGATTTAGAATTGGGGGAGGCATATCAGGGCCCATCGCCTGGTTTTGTGAATTAAACGTGGTTTTTATATGTGTTAATGGTTGGAAAATATCAAAGGAAGAATACTATTTCACATCACGTGATATATGAAATTCAAATGTCAGTATCTACAAGTTGTTTTAGAACACAGCCAAGCTCTTCATTCACTGCATTTTCCCAGGGTGCGTTCACGCTTCCAAACAGACGTGAGTAGTTGCTGCAAAGACCACGTGGTACAAAAAGTCCGAAATACTTACTGTTCTTTACAAAAGAAAGTTGCCAATCCTCAGTTTAAAAAATTCGGATAGATTTAAAAGTAGTCATGTTAATTTTTACAGAACCTATTTAAAGCAAAATCTATTATCATGATTCACTCTATCAATATTCATTAGTTATGGATGCATTACTAACAAGGAGTAAATATTGAATTAATTACTGAGTTAAACACCCACCCAAAGGGGTTTTGCTAGAATCATGCTTAAAATACTGCCAAGGATTCAGTTTGCTGACTAAGAAAAAAGCACCACCGGCACATTTGGGCTGTGCTAATTTGCAGACTGAGACTGTCAAAAAGGACCAGCATGGATGAAAATTAAGAAATAAAAGGAAATTTCCTGGAGGCAAAATTCCTGTATTCAGTATGAACAAGCTCTCCTTGTTTTCTTGACAAAAAATTTTACTTTCTGATAAAAAAAATAATTCAAATCTAGTTGAAACTATTTTCCCGACATCATTAGCTAGGAGGTACAATGGAACACATTTGGCAAATTTAAAAGTTGGGAATTTTCACTATCACTTCTTCTTTTTTGCTTTCTAGAAATAGAACATCTCTACCTCTTAATCCTTTTAGCAGCGTGCACAAGGAAAGACTTTCCATCACACTCCACCACATCATCGCTACCAATCCCCTGGGGGTCGAACCTCTCTTCGTGTCTAGCAAATATCTTGTAAATACATTGGAGCACTTTTGATTTCTTAAAGTGCACCGTGTTCTGTGCCTACATCAAAGTTACATGTAATACACTTGTAAAAAGTGGGAAGAATGAAAGAAGGATTTTTCCAAGTTCCGATTATATTTTCGTTAATTCTGGTTTAATCCAACATTCACTGATTGCCTGCTTTATGAAAAACAATGGGAGAAGCATCTGAATAGTGTTATCATCACCACTACTCACACTTCCCCTAATAATCAACACTCACTGAATGCTTACTCTGCACAGACAGCACCCTCACAAGCACATTTTCTGTAAGATCTCAGTCTTCATGTGAACATTAGGAGGCAACAACATACGAGCAGGCTCAGTGTGCAGGACAGACACCAAGGGGCAGACGGTTTGATCAAATTCACTCACACAAAGCCCCGGGAAGGGGAACTGAGATGGAAGACCAGTGGTTGCCAGCTCCCCGGTCAAGGCTGCTGACCACCACACTTTGCTCACAAAAGGGATATAACGTGGGAATATGACAAGTAAACAAACTCTACCGAAAGCTAAAAGTGGGTTAACTGCGTGTGCATCGCTGCTCTTTACTGTGGAAGCTAAGGAAAGAGAACAAGAGCATTTATTCATCTATTCAAACTATTATCACTGCAAATTATGCAAAAAATACTGCTGCACAGGGAGATAAGAGGAGATGTGTGACAGAGGAAGCTCTGTCACATGTTATTGAATAACAGATCGAACTTCAACATGGAAGAAAGTACATTAAAGGTAAACGGTACAACATAACTTAACCCAAACCAACAATCACAAAAAGGCAGCTTCTCTCATGCAACTACTGACTAATGGACTTTTTTCTTTAAGGATAAAGGATACGTTAGAGAAAACTGCCTGGCAATATCCAGGGAGGGGCGAAAGTGGGTTTACAGTTGTTTGTATGGAATATAATGCAGTCATTAATAGATAACAATACAAGAGTACACTGTGTTTCAAGCACCCAACACTGCAAACCTACTTTTGCCCCACCCTGTATGAGGAAATCAGAAATCTGAGGGCTTAGAATACTTTACAGCCCAGAGAGCCACTGCCTGGTGGAAGGCCGGCGTGGCAGGAAGGTAGAGGACTGCTTCTGGGGCTGCCTCTGGGCTGACAGCAGTTCCCAGAGCAGGCACAGATGCCAGGAACTCTGGGAGTGTCCACACGTACTCTAAGTTTGAGGGCATTTTTTCATCTGGTGCCGTTTCGTCTTCTGATTGGTCGCTGAGAAGATCACAGGTTTGGATGGATGATGTGTCTGCCACCTCCAGAACCGGCGCAATGCTGGGCCTTCTGATCTCCTTGATCCCTTCTGAAGGAAGGGCCAGGGTAGGGCCACTGGCCGATCGGCAGCTCGTGTCCTGCAGGTCTATAGCCACAGTACCTGGCGCAACGAGACAGGAAAAGCCGTCAGGGCGCCTGCCGCTGTTGGGAGGTGTCTGACATTTCATGATGGAAGGGACATGAAAGGCAACGAGTGTAACAAGGAAAGCTCGTCTCCCCTTTCATCTCCAAAGTTACACACATCTTTATCCTGGGGGCATTTTTGCCCACTTGGACAAAAAATACTATATTTGTGTAAAAGTTTATTGGCTGAGTCTAGCTCTACAGCACAAAATGTAAGATCTGTGAAATGCTGAAATGCCTGGGAATTTAAAGTTTTTAAAAAATCCCTCATTTCAATGCACATTTATATAAAGTTAACAAAGAATTACTGGGTACTTCAATTCTTTGGATGTCTCATTGTATTGTCTTCCCCTCCATTTTGGTGACTTATCTTTCTCTTATCTGTAACCACTTTTTATAAAAGAACCATTCCTATTTTATACTTATAAGACAAAAATTCATTGCCCTGGCTGGTATAGCTCAGTGGATTGAGTGAACCAGATTGAAGTTTGATTCCCAGTCAGGGCACATGCCTGGGTCGCAGGCCAGTTCCCAGCAAGGGGACGCCCAAGAAGCAGCCATACATTGATATTTTTCTCCCTCTCTCCTTCCCTTTCCCTATAAAGATAAATAAATTAAAAATCTTTAAAAAACAAATATTTATTGAGTACCTGCTATTTGACAAGTACAATTCTAGAAACTTGACATTTGCTGGGAACAAGACAGACAAGGCTTCTACATGTATGGATTTATCTTTAAAATAAACAAGTAGACAAATAAATAAAAAAGTCATTTTAGGTGATGACAAATACCACATAGAAAGTACGCAGAATGATGTAATGAAGAACAGTGGGGTTGGGGACAGGAGGAGAAAGGAACTTGTCCCTGTGGTCAGCAGGGCAACTCTGAAGTCATACTAACTGATTTCTGATCTGACAGACAATGATGAGCACAGAACCAAGGGGAAACCTGGGGGAAGTCAGAACAGCAAGTCTGAATGGCTTAAGGCCCTTCCCACTCAAGGTCAGAGCCTAGATTTTGTAAACACTCCTTAACTGCTGCTCATCTCTGTGTCTGGCCTCTCTGTCCTTGACACCTTCACCTCCTATCTTCCAGATGGAATTATAATCAATTAATCCACTACTTTTCAGTCTCCTTCAACCAATGGATGTCTTTTACTTTCTTCCCTAAACGAGGTCCATGGTCCGTCAATCTATTCACTCTCTTTCATATACTCCTGATGTCCCAAGAGGAAACAATAAGATTTCAAGCCAGCAGAGAAATTTATCTACAAGGATGTTGGTCCAAAGTGTATGTGTGTGTGTGTGCGCGCATGTGTGTGTGTGTAGAATTATGAAGAGAGACAGAGACGGTGGGGGGGGGGGATTTGCCAGTCTTTTGGGGGGTGGGAAATGAAGTTAGATAATGAGGAGGAATTAAAGAGTGAAGTAAAGAGAGATGGGTCTGTAGCATGTGAAAAGGCCTTTAGATGAGTTAAAAGAAAACTTGTATTTTTCTTGTAACAGAAACTACATGTGTAGGTTTATAGGTAGTTCAGTGGGAAAAATGTAAGGAACTGATTACTTGTCTGAATTTTCTTAAAAGTTAACTTCTGCGTCAGAGAAGCCAAGTCAAATGGTGAGAACGAGATAAGGGATGGAAGGGGAGTTTTAGACAAAACAAGGCATATTTGGAATAGCCTCCTGACGTGTGGGGGGAGGACTCACAAATGGAATACAGACCCGTCAGGTTCTTACATCCTCACCGGGAATATAAAACAGTTGTTGTCAGCTTTGAATGAGCTTGATTTCTTTTTTGTTTACCAATTTAACAGCTTAGAATTGTGTTCTGTATCTTTAGTTACACCAAGTGTGTCATACAAACTAGTGCATTCTGAATTTGTCCTTGAACTTTTCATACAATGGAAGTATATGTATTACTTATTTAGGAAGACACAAACGGTCTTTTCAGATGTGTCTGCTCTCACCCATGCTGGCAATGATGCTGTGGACAGGGAGCCGGGAGGGTCCGTGGTAGAACGACCGAGAGGCCTTGCTTCTTTTCTGCTGGTCTTGGTGCTTAAATGCCGAATTCTCTTCTTTGGTTATATTAATGTAAAAACAGATATCTGTAGCATTCATAATGTATCGAGGACCTGGATTCAGTAAAATGTTTTTATTATCCTCCCTCCTAACACCAATCAAGCAGACACCAAACCTTAATACAAAAAAGACAATAGGAGAGTTTAAGAATTGTAATCCAGCAAAGGTCTTCAGTGTTGCTTCCTTAAGTTTGCATACGTCAGAAAATAATTCAACTATTAAAAAGCAGGTGAAAAGTAAAGCCCCAAGTCAGAGCTTTTTATAGCTCGAAAGTATCCTAAAAGTTTAAGACTCTGATTTTTTTTAAAGGACACTGTGTCCTTAGTGTGTTGATAAACCAATTTAGCTGATTATTACATATATTTATGTATATACATAAAAAAGAATAAAAGAGAACAGAAAACATCACAGTGCATGCCATATAGTGAGGCAATAAATTTTTTGCCCATTTTGTGTGCGCGTACTGGAGCATATCATAAAATTCACACCTTACTATGGTCGCAAAAGGTAAACCAGTGTTTCTTACTTTAGTCAAAAAAGTGTGAGAGCCATTAGCCTCTAATGGAGAGGAAGGAACTTACCCAACATCATGTGAGAAGGAATCAGGGTCCTTACATTTATTTTTGTTCTGTTTCTACCATATTTGGTTTACTCAAAATGTTAGAAAAAAACAGTTCATATAGTCTTGAATAAGTGTGTGGGTTAATTAGGAGAAATAGCACCCACTGACCATAGCAAACATTATCTAAAAATTTCTACTTTTCCAGGGTATGCTCTAAAAACAAAATGCCCTGAATATTTATACTTCAACATGTCTTATGGTATTATAAATAAGTCAAGTTTTAAAATGTTTTTTAAACATCAAAAGTATATATACAAATAAAATCATATTGAGACTTAGCATGGAGGACATTGGTTATTGGATTAGTGAAATATACCAGATATATTACAAACCCTAAAAATGTTATATTAATATACTTATAATACTGATAATATTTTGATAAATATTTTTTTTGTTTCTAAAGTAAATACTTTATAAAAGGAAAATAAAATAATGTTCTATATTTGAATTAGAAGGAACTACATTTTTTTAACCTATATCTATTGCCAAAGCAAGTTTTTAAAAATGTCTAGTTTTTATAACTTTTATTATTACTTGGTCAAATTTTTAATCAACAGTTTAAAATTCAGATCTATAAAAAGATTCACTTTTATATATTGTGAATTCATAATGGATTAAAATCTTTTTAAAATAATTTAAAAGTTACTAAGGTAAATATTTCTACTGAGTTCTACTCTACCCCTGGTCGTCTGAACTTGTGGGGACCACCCAGAAGGCCCAAGTTCAAATGTCTCAATAATGATGTGAAACCTCAGAATATTTGCCACTCATGAGCACAGATCAACACAACTTGGATTTGGGGAAACCACATTTGAAACATCTGGTGGAGTCGTATTTTAATACCACTCTGGAAGCAGACACGTACTTTTTGTGTGCGTGGAAAGAGGCATATGTAAAACTCTTTCCTTCGTATTCCGCGAAAAACGCACTGTCTTCCAAGGTGATGTGGTACACTTCGTTGCCAGAGCACCTGCCGTATGTCTTCTGCCACTGCTCCGGGGACTGCTGGCCTTCCCTGCAGAACAGGAACACACACACACACACACACACACACACACACATCATGTTAGTGACTTTCTTCCAATTTTATGGCTGTGAAGAGAAATATTTCTTTGTGGTACAAGTAAGGGTCTCCAAAAGGGATCCCAAAGGTATTAAGAAAATAAATTTAAATAAGAGTACAATTTCTCTTATTCTGGAGCTGTCTGCCCATAAAATATTCAACCTAGGAAAAGTTTGTTATAAATATCCAATAGCCCTTTTCCTCCATGTTGTACAATCCCAATTACTTTTGCCGAATAAAGCTCATGAACTCTGGTAAGCATGAGAAATGCACGTTCAGAAAGAAAAGTGATAAATATATAAAAACCCAAATACTTCATAATCTCCGTAGATTCCGGGTGGGTCTACGCAGATAACAAGTCACCTCAACCATCTGCAGGGTTTCAAAAACCATTTTAAACCCCAAGTTTTCTCAGAGGATTACCAGGGAGATAAGACACTTATTGACATTATCAAAGTGTCAAGAAGTTTTTCAAAACCGTACATTTTCGGGGTGTATTTCATTTCTCTTCATTTCCTCTTCGGGATGCTGGAGAAGCTCTGCGGTCCGATTGCCTGATCTGAATTCTGACGGTGACCTTGGGAGTTATTTAACTTCTCAGCGTTTCCTTCCTGCTTCTGGGGAAAACACTTTCAGCCTCACTGGGTTGGATAAAATGAGGTAACAGAGATAAACCGCCAAGCAGATGTGGAGTCACAGTAATCCCTCTGTAAATGTCAGCTTCCGCTGCGACTCTGCTGCCGGGTGTCCCTCCTCCCTTGTCTTACAGCCGCTTTCAACACGCCTGTCCACCTGCCCAACAGTAATGCTCTGAAAACCGATACCTTCCCATGATGTCACCATGTCATGTCTTTTTGGAAAGAGGAGAATAAAACATCGATGACCAAGCACATCTGGTTGTGCCTGGTGACCACTTCCTAAGAACGATTGTGACCAGTGGGGACAATGTTCCCTTTGGCGAACAGGAATAAAATTCTTTGTCATGCACCACGTTGCTGCTCGGCACGAGCCTGCTTACCATTTAAAGAGCTGGGAATTTAAGAGAAGATGCTCGTCATCTATCTGGGTTTGTTCGGAGAGCCAAAAGGCAGCATGGACTCACATCACTGTCTCACGAGGGTACAAAAGCCATTTGGGAGAATCATAGATCTAACTCCAGGAACTGGCTTGGGAACACAGAGGGGTAACTTGGAAGAAAACGCCACTGTCACTGCAAAGCTTTCGGACTGTGCTATGCCGGTCTGTCAAATGTCATCGGGTCCTTCTCCCTTCCATCTCTTCTGGGCGGCAGCCAGGGGCAGTGTGTAATTCCACCGAATGAGAAACTTGAACACCAAGGCCTTTCCCCAACACGGTTCCTTCTGTCTTCTAGGCCTGATCTATTCTTCGACCCATGGTTTACTCACGACTTCCCCAGCTTTGCGACGTTAGACTTCATTCCATAACACTGTAACACCGAATGGTACTAATTAATCCTTCTCGGGGAATGCGCTCTGTGAGGGACAGAGTCGCGTCTCATTGACTGCCATCCCTGAGTCCCGACATTTTTTTCTGACACCAGCGAGAGCTTAATAAATGCTTTGTTTAATGAACACAGAACAACCCAACAATGTTCTTCATGCTCAATTACTACATGTTCCGCTCTTCTAATTATATAATATCTTTTTCCTTCACCAGAATCATTTTTTTAGGCTCGGTCAATTACTTTCACTAGGATGAATTTGCCATTAGAATTAGAGGGGAAAACATGACTGAGTTTCATAAGCATGAATGAATGTGAAAGGAATTTAACCTCAGCAGCCATAAAAACACAAAAGATATCAGGAACAAAAAGCACAGGATGGAGACCTTAGTAAAAGGTATGAAAAGCCACTCAATGAAATTTGAAGATTTGTTTGCACCAGTGAAACAAACATGTAGGGGAAATAATCAGCTCATGGACTTCCTTCCTGTTGACTCAAAGCACAAGCCAACCCAGAACGAAGTCTGGTCCGCCCCCCGTGTCACGCCCTCGTGACGTGCTCTGCTGGCCCGGATGATGATGGGATGGCAGTGAATCGTCCCTGGGTGGGTTCCCGTCCCCCTTTATTTTCAAAGCAATCGCCAGCCCCATCTGTTTGTGAAGATATTAGTAGGAAATGAAACAAAATAAAAACAGGACTATGGAAATAAAATATTCCATGGGGAAATAAAGGAAGTGCAGAATAACACCATATACTTGATACGTGGAAAAATCTCATTGAAATTTGTATTTTCCCCTGAATGGAGGGTCACGCCCTGGAATTCATGGGCCCGATTCCTTAGTCACGAGAGCCTTGGAGAGACTTTGACAGGCAGTCTCCAGGGAAAGGAAGCTTATGCCCACTGTTCTCTGTGTTTTAAACCCTCAACAAATGTCTTAGTGAGGACAACATTTGAAATAAGAAAAGAGAAAGTGCAAGAAAAAGTGAGAATTTGTTTAGGAGAAAGGAAGAACACTATCTACTAAAGGAAAAAAAAAAATCACACACTCCACTGTCTCTCTCCCCATGACCTTGTCGCTGTTTGCCACGCTCTGCCAAATCTCCCGCCTAACCGGCGTCCTGGGCAGATCGCATTTCTTTTGAACCACGTTCAGCCATCTGGTCTGAAACTCCCCTCTTCCCAGCCCAGCCTTACACTCCCCTGTTCTCTGAAATAATTCTACCTGGTCCTGCACGTCCTCCAGGGAGCTACCTGGTAGAAACATGGGAAAAAACTCCTTGTGGGGAGAGAGGGACGGCTCTCTCTGTATTGTACCACAAAACCTCTTTCACCCTCCCTGCCTTGTTTCCGGAGAAGCCTCTGGCTTCTTGGGTTTCCTTTCTTGGGGTTCCAAAAAAATAGCGCGAATTTCTTCCTGCCCCAGCTGTGGGGCAGGAAATCCGTGCGTGGGGGTGAAGACTACTCTCTGGTGCTGCCGCCTCTCCCTGATTCTTCCTTCCTCGTGTTTGTGAAGTCACTGAAAACTAGGACACAAGCCGATGTCCACCAGGGACATGGGCTGCCCCGTCCCACGTCCCGCAGACGTGAGAGTCTGGGGCAGACTCTCCATGGGGCTCCCTCAGCCCCATCTTCTCTTCCTATAGAAAGGAGGGGAGAGCAGGAAAAGGGGGCGCACAGCTCTTCTTTCTCCTCAGTTTGGCTTCAAGTCATTCATCCTGGGGCAACATGAAAAGTCCCTCCTCAATATACGTAAGTATTGGATGACATAAAAACAAAAGTATGTTTGTTCTACTCTGTTTATGGTTCCCCAGTCAGAAATATCGTTTGTTCTCATCAGATTTTGAATGGGGCATAAGTCAGTTTTGAAAACCACATTTCCTTTTTCTTTCCAAGGGAAGTTGCACATGTCTCATGAATCCATTACTACCCCTTCCAGGCAAATGAGTGTTTATGGCCAGAGAGCAAATTAACTCACATACCAGTTTCCTGTTCCTCAGAGTCAGCCAAGTGGGACGGGACCTTTCACCAATGGCTATGTTCTTGGGTCTGCTCTTTGCAGAAACACACTTTAATACAGGCCCCTGAATGCAGTAAAAGAATCCATGTGGGTTTGCTTCTCTCCCAGAGGAAGGAAAAGAAGATTTAACTGGAATTTTCTGTCGCAGATGCAACAAGTTGAAGTCTTATAACATTACACACTCTTTCCTGTGTCAGGGGTGTGTCCAGTGTGTGGTTGGCATTTTTAAAAAAGCATAAAACCATGGCATTCGGAAGTACCATGGTCAAGGCCATGAAAGCAATGGTTAGGAGAAGCCCGTCTGTCTTATAACACATTCTAGTTGTCGATTTAAACACCTCTGCATGTTAATGATCAGATGTAGCTGGGCTAGTCCTTTCTGTTCTCTTTGGTCCCGAATAATGTAGTCAAGCAGACAGTAGACAATCATTTCAGATGAACCAAAATTGACACAGACTGTCAAATAAGTTGGCTTTACACACCTCTTGTTATCATCAAACTAAATCATTTCCACATCAGTGGGACTAAAGAGAACCCGTGACAAGAACCTTCGATGGAAAATCCATCCCTCTCTATGCAATAAAAGACTCCACAGGTAACTAGATAGAAATATTTGCCTCAGAAAAAGGATGTCATTCAGATTCGTACTTGAAGAGTTAGATTAAATTTCCTTACCGATACCCCATTTTCAAGGAAATTTAAAAACATATTGATTATCTAATTTTACTAGTTAAAAGCAGAGTTAAGAAGGCTAAAAGAAGTGGCCCTTCAGGGCTAGATGCAATGAAAATGGACTTGAGTTATTTCATTTCTTGCTCTAACAGACACCAGTCGAATGTCGGCTTGGTTCCAGGAACCTGAGAGTACCCTGCTCTCTCAGGGTACTTCTCTGTGAACAGGCATGAGCTGCCTTAGCTCCCAATGGTCTCAAACTTTTACTCTATTTAAAAAGTAAAATATGCCCTGGCTGGTGTAGCTCAGTGGAATGAGTGTGGGCTGTGAACCCAAGGGTTGCCAGTTTGATTCCCAGTGAGGACACCTGCCTAGGTTGTGGGCCAGTTCCCCAGTGGGGGACACACAAGAGGCAACAACACATTGATGTTTCTCTCCCTCTCTTTCTACCTCCCTTCCCTTCTCTGTAAAAATGAATAAATAAAATCTTTAAAAAGTAAAAGTATACTAGTTCACTGCTGATGCAATCTTGCCTTTACTCTCAACGTCAGGAAGTTACAGTTCCCACTGGTCAAAGAAAGGATTTTGCAAATGGCAGCCTGTGTCCTTGAAAACAGAGTTGAAATTTAAGGGGTGGAGAAAGCATATGAATGTTACTGAAGCTTCTAAAACAAGTAAAACTGCAAAGCAAATAGCTAATCCACATTTTTGGAGGAGCATGTATTCTTGTCCATCTGCAGACAGAATTGACACACATGCATAATCATCTAGAAAGAACAGCATTCATGAACTCTAGAAG